AAATCAATATTCCTTATGTAATAATAAAAAAAAAGTTTTCCATAAGTATGTACGTATATAGTAAATTATAAAATTGATATATATATATATATCTATTACTCATACAACAAAAGTTCTAATTTATTTATTTTTTATCTTATATATGTAAGTAATAAATTGCTTTGATATATAAAATTAAGTATTTCTTTTACTCAATGAAATAAAGTACTAAATTATAGTTAGATATTAAAAAACTAATTCTAATTCTAGATTTTATAAATTTATAAGGATCCAAACACAAGAATTGGTATTAGAACCTTAATTCTAGCAATTCTTATGATCTTCCAAACAAAGGAATTAAGATTGAATTACAATCTTAATATCTCATTTTCAATTTAATAGTATTGTAATTACAATTCAATTACAATTCAATCTAACCAAACGGAGCCTAAATAGAAATGTCGAGGGCGATATTCGACAGCATCGTTGACCACCGACGAGTACTTCTTTACCTGGACAAACAAACAAACTACGGAGTCCAAACACACCGAGATTAATATTTCCATAAAGTCAACAAGGGTTTTCAGAGAATAAAAAATGTGGATAATTATCTAATAAAAGCTTAACATCTTTATTTATAGATAGGGAATAGCGTCTTTATGATCTCAACATAAGTCGGTTTACAACTCTACTATCCACTTGTTAGAATATTAGGTCAATCTGGGCCGACTATGTCTATTTGGGCTAGATAAATTATGGGATAAATATCAAGCCCGATCAGAGAAGATTTTAATGTAATGAAATTTGTTAACACATTTCTCATTTAGACAGTACCAGAGATTCATATTTTCATTGTTATCTGAGAAGTTTAGCTTGTCAACTATGTGTCTTCCAATCTTTTATTTCGGTCATGGATAATTTTATGCATTTTGTTTTAAGATGTCAATGCTTATTTTGTGACCATGAGATGTCACATGATATATATTGTGAGGATGGATTCCTATTTGATTTTGCTCTGGTCTGGTTTTATACCCAAATAGACTAACTTATGATTATTCTAATTTCCTTGGTTGATGGTCTAACCTTCGCAAATACTCCTCATTATTTAGTTAAATATACCTTTTCTGAAATTTAGTAATTCCTCTCTCTTGTCGTACTCTATAGTAAGATGTATTTTTCTAATCAAATTCTAAATGTGTCCTTAACTCAATTAGTCCGTTAAACATTATTGAAAGTATTGGGATTAATAGAATGAGACAAAAAATTTTGCAATTAGTTGAGATAAGATGTTTTGAATTTAGTACTAATTAATGAGCCATGTTGGATAACAATTTCCAAAAACAACTTAAAGTCTTAGTTCACTAAATTTATTAATATTTTTGTAAGGGTATTTTAAGAAGATTAAGGTAAAAGGTATTAATTAAATTAGTTTTATTAATTTGTGTCAAAATATGTATAAGGTTATTGAATTAGGACGGAGTAAGTAGGCCACATGTATTTTTTTTAATCGAGATTTGGACTTAATAGATAAATTAATTTTTTGTTTTTAGATTTAAGAGGCTGGTTATAACTTCGCTAAGGGTGTTTACGAGTCGAGCCGAGCCGCTAGCAAGCTATTCACACACCAGCTTGGTCAAAGATTAATCAAACTCAAAATCGATCGAACTCGTGCCGAGTTCAAGCCAACTTGTTAATGAGATGAGTTGTAATGTTTGCTCATTAACTCTATATTGTTCAACCCTCAGATGAAAATGTTGGTCTCTATTATATTTTTTGAAGGACTCAAATTTAGAAAACTCCACTTGGCAACCATAACACCACCAGTCATTCAAGTGAGACCACATCTCAACCGACATTGCTTTTACCTGAGCCATGAAAATGCAGTGTGTAAGAAGTAAATGTGACATACTGATACTGGCAGCTACGAGCGGGAAATATATTAGGTCTGGGTTGTGGGACTAAAATTCTAAAAAGATATGATGAGGTGATGACATTTGAAACGGATGACCTATTATAACTACATAAGATCTAGATCTGCCTCGGTCCTAAACACATTTTTACAGACGTCACACTCGATCTTGTTGAGGAAGTGTTTCTCAGTGTTGTGCTTGATAAGTTACCGGAACTTGCGGAATTCCGAACGACAGTTATAACACCACCACCTGTTGCTGATGGGCCACATGGAAACAGGCATGGGTTCAACGTCGGCCATGATTACTATCTTTGTGGAGAAGATGCATAGTTTCTTGGAACTTTTTATTCTGAAAAGGAGTTTCTTGGCAATTATATTATAAAAAAGTGAGAAAATTTAATGAAAATTAATAGAGAGAGGTGCGCTTGTACAAGACTGGAAAGGTTTTATTATAAGAAAACTTTCACCCAATGTCAGCTACTGAAAATTGATTTGGGTTATCAGCTTTCAAAGAAGAAAATGGGCTGTTGAGCTTGGCCCAAAAAAGGGGTGATTTCATGTGAATTTTTTCTTTATTTTCTATTTTTTTAAGCATAAACTAATGTATTAATATTTTATATTTTTCTCTTGATAAATAATGGTTAATTTAAAATTTGGCATAAACAAAATTATTTCGATATGAATGTTAATAAAATCTATGATCCAGTAAACATATTTTTAAATACTGTCCTTTTATGTAATATTAAATATATATACCCTCGCGTTGCCAATTTCAAGGATAATTTTCGACTGACAATTCATGCATGTTTCATCTATACTTGTTACAACATCTCATTTTTTGGTTCTAAAGTCTTCATACCGCTATATTTGAGTGGAGGGGATGAAGCAAAGGGTTGGGTGCATCCATTTGAGAGCTATTAGATTCGCAGAATTGAGCAAGAATATAGTGAGTAGCCTCGTCATTTAAACAACCTCAAAGATTAATGATGGTATTTTTGTGAATAAATGTTAGTCAACACTGCAATTTAAGAGGCAAACCTACAAATTAATTACAACAAATCTTGGTAATCTTGAAACAACATGTCACTTATTAAACATCATTTAAATTTATGGTTATAGGAAGCATATGAGTTGGCTACGCGGCTACAGAGAAATTGAAGTATGATGTATGAGTGATGGTTTAATTTTTTATTTTGATTTTTTACCTTTCTAAAAATAATTAAAATCACATTAAGAATACACAAAAATTCTTTTAAAAAATTAAAGAAAATGGATGAAAAAAATTGAAATAGTTGCATACTAATCAGAATAGAATATTTTATATAGAACAAGGGACAAAAAATCAGATGGAAAAGAAAGGACTAAATAGCGAATACTGAGAAACTTTCTGGAAAAAACAGAAAAGCGTGAAAATGGAGGGAGTAAAGTGATAATTTCCACCCATAAAATTGGACCCATTGTGATGGCGTGGATTTAGAAAATCGCAGTCGAAGGCACTGCCTATAAATACAACGAAAACAAGGCTCTCTGTGTTCGTCATTGTCATTCAAGCGCACTTGGACTTGAAAGATTATTCTCACTTACAGATCATCGCCATTTTATCTCTTTCGTCAATTGAGTAAATGTTCGGAACCTGAATTCTCTCTGAAACACCGTTGTAATTGTTCGTTGCTTGTATGTTTATTTGTTTGTGATTCAATTGATTGATATACGTTTTACGCACACTCACACAGTAGCCTCACTCTTTTGTTTGGTTTCTTAATTCGCTTTTGCTGTTTGAATTGAATTGAATTGAATTCGGGTAATCTCATGTTCTGTTTACTTGATTTCATCATCCCCATTCTTGAATCGGTTGAAGTTTGTCCTGTCTCGGTTACATTTAAGTGTTCCTTACGTTTGCATTGTTTTCTTTTTGTTTTTTCCGCACCGCTTAATTTTGCACATTTGGAATTTGTTTTTATTCTTTCTTAATTTTTATATTTCTGGTTTTTTCCTTGGGAAGATAAGGGTGTATGGTTGAGTTTGGTGAAGCAAATTCTAAAGGTGTTTGAGTCAATTTTCTTGGTTTTCTGGTTGATTGATTTTGTGGGTTTTAAGGTAGAGGATTTTATCTGCATTTGGTTTTCTTGAGTTCTACTTGAAACATCATCAAGTGATCAAGAATCTGTTGGTTTTCTTTTGGGTGTTGTTGCTGGGAAGGAATCAATCGATTGAATCTGCATTTCCACTGGCTATTAAGCACCCTCAATTCTAAATAGTTTTTGCTGTGGCTTTTTTCCTTTGTGGTGTTTGTTCAATCCTTTTTTTTCTTTTTAATTTGATGTGATAATCGATCAAAGTTATGTAATCTTAATCTTTGAGTTACACTTTGTGGCCTTATGATTGTATAAAAAAATTGGTGAATTGTGGAATTCCTTTGCTTCTTGATGAAGGGAGAAAAAACTCAGTTTTCAAATTCTAATTTTCTGAGGTATTTTCCCAGCAGCCTAAAAGTAGATTTATAATTTTTGGGGTATATTTCAGTGCCAATTTATCTGTTTAGTTTAGTGTTTTTTTTTTTTTTTTAACTTTAAAAAAGAGAAACAAGCAAGAATCTGCACAATTGGAATCTAATGCTCAACAAAGGACCAAAAAGGGGAAATGAAAATGGGTAGGTATGGGGAGGGTGCTCTTTTATTTTGATTTGGTTTGAGGAAACAAAATCTTCTACCAAAAGAAAAGAGGTAACAAAATCTAGCTATTGAATTAATTTCTCAGTTTAGGGTTATTTCCAATTATTTGAGTTATAAGGTGTTTGTATGGTTGTGTGATGGGCGGATTATGTAAATTGCCTTCAGTTTTAGCTGAGTGTACTTTAGAAGTTGATCTTGTGCATCCTCCGGAGGCATTTGCTGGTTTCGTGTTCTTTAATTATCATCACCATAATGACTTCTGTTTTCTTAGTTCTTATACTTTAGGTCATGTTCATCTGTTTTAATTACGTCTGATCCTATCTTTATATTATTGTTGCAGTAACAAAGCTTTTGTTGGAAAGATCTCTAGAAGATCTTTAAAAGAAATCTATAGTTGAAGCATTATGCCCTCTGGTTGTTGCTGAGAAGTCTCTAAGATGTCAGGACTCCTTAATGTATGTGTCCTCCCTTAGTCCTCAGATTAAAGTTTGTCCTGTATTGATTAAATAATCTGCTTTGGTTTTGATGTTTTCCAATGCTGTGATGGTTGGATGCTGTACCTCTGACATCTTTCATGCATCTTAAATGCCATTATTCTTTATGAAAATGTGTGAAATTTGATCAGTTTATGAGATTAGAACATGGAAAGCAGCAATCTTGAAACTGGGTATTACTTTAAATTATGGTCGATCTCATTTTTTATCTTGTTGTGGTCCACTTATCTGTTTGAGTTATCTGGATGCAGTCAGGATTGAATGGATCAAATGCAAATATTACAGATCCTAGTAGAGCTTTTCCCTCCCAGTCTGGTTCTACTAGTGCTGTTGTGAATCATTCTGGTGGGTTGTATATGCTTGAACTCTCAAGTTTAAATTAACTATAAGTGACTACTTTGTAAAGAATTCTCTTACTTTTGTAGGAAACATACAAGGTTTACATGGGATCCACGGGAATTTCAACATCTCTAATATGCCGGGTAGTTACTCATCTAGAAATTCTACATTGATTACTGGAGCACCTGGTGGCGTTCAACAAGGAACTGGAGGAATGTCAAGTGGGCGATTTGGAATGACTAATCTTTCAGCCTTTTCTCAGGTTTTAATTTAGTGATTTTAACTGCTCATAACTATTCAATGCTTATGATACCACTGTTTCTCCTCTCATACTTATGCAAATGCATGGAATACTGCCTCTTGGATGCAGCTATCTCTAGCTGGTTCTCATGGACATTCAGCAGTGACAGATAATGGAGGTATAAATGATGGCAAAATTATGTAATCGGTTTATCTTCATTTTTACCTTTGTCCATGCCCCCCATAACTGGTAACTAGTGTATTCAGGTTCAGGTGCACTACCAAATATTGGAAGTTCTGGACGCATTGGAAACCCAATGGCTAATTATGTAAGTGGCGGGAGTGTTGCAAGGGGTTTAGGCTCTGCTGGAGGATCAAACTTGTCTGGGGTTGCTTCTCGCTTAAATATGGCAGGTACAGTCTCTTTTGGTATTATCAAGTGAATGAAGATTTTCTCAGATTTTAGAATCTTTTCAGTTCTGTCAATAATCAAAGCTCGACCTAGTTGGCATGTAATTTCTACTCAAGACGGATTGCGAAAATTACTTCTTTAGTCTCGTGTAGTTCATTGTGTTGTCTACTTTGCATTGTTAGCTAATGAGTCTTGAACTCTCAGATCCACAGGTAGTTTCCATGCTCAGCGGTTCTTATTCTGGTTCCGGCGTGCCTATGTCTCATAACCAGTTCCAAGGCGGAAGTGGTCCTTACACTTCTTTGCTGTTGAACGACTTGAATTCTCATGAGGATACTGCTTTTGATGTTAACGACTTTCCTCAGCTTGGTGGACGTACTGCTTCTACTGGTGGTTCTCAGGGTCAAATGGGTAACAAAAGTTTCAAATGAAACTGAAGATCTATCTGTTTCCTACAGATTTTTCTTCATTAATATAGTCTTGTTTGCATATCCAGGTTTCTTGCGGAAGCAAAATGTAGGGTTCAATCAACAAAATCAAGAGTTCAGTATTCATAATGAAGATTTTCCTGCTTTGCCAGGGTTTAAAGGTACTTTATTTCAGAACTTAAACCACCTTGCCTAATGAACGATACCATTTCGTGATTTACCTTCAATTTTCTCATTGACTCCATAATGAGTTTGTGAAACATTCCTCTTTATTACTAGAGATAACTTAATATTGCAGGATGAGTTGTTTATATATATTTAGTTTTGAACCAATGCTGTTTTAGTTGCATGTGTCTGAAGATTCAATTAACTATAATGGAATCTGGTATTGGCTAAAATTAGAAGACAATGAGCATTCTCCATGGTCGTTTCTGTCTTTTGGTTGCGCAGATTATTTCTTTTCTGAATCTTGACATGGAAATTTTATACAATTTCTGGGTAGGGTAATTTGGCTTATCTCTACTCTCTTTGGATCACCCTTCAAGTTGATGACCTGTTAAATAATTTGCAGTTTTGATTTCTTTCTTTCTGCTTGTTTTGTATGGTAAAAATCATATTTTTGGCAAGATGTGAAAGTCTGATCCTTTTTTGGTAAGAGAAAAAGAGTTGAAAAAGAAAAAATGAGAAAAGGGAAAACATGTTTTTGCATTAAGTAATATTCTCCTTATCTACTGGCAAGCCTGGATATAATGAGGAATTCTGAAACAGGTGTCAATGTAGATTTTCCTATGAACAGTCACCCGAAAGAACAACTCCACAACATGTCACCTATGATGCATCCTCAGAACATGCCTGTAAGTTCTTCTGCAGAAGATGTGATTTGTGTGAAACTGGATATTCTTCTATTTATGAAAGGTCTATTCTTTTTCTCTCATTTGATGTGGTGTGATCTTGCAGTTGGGAAGGTCGTCTGGTTTGAACTTTGGAGGAGCAAGCTCATCACAGTATCAGCAAGCCCAACAGCATGCTTCATCATCAAGTGGCTCTGGGCTTTCCTTTTTACCTACAAATTATCAAAGTTATCAAGACCTCCACTTTCATGATCATGAGGTGTTAATTTTTTCGTGGTCACTTGTGCTACAGATTATCTTCAAAGTAGGATTCACTGGAGTTTTGTAATGACCCCTTGCTCTGATATTTTTGTGGTTGTAGGCACGTAACATTGGGCCACCAGTCTCTGGCTCTGGAAATAATAGTTTGCCGAACACAATGTCTGGTATGGGTCCCTATGAACAACTTCCACAGCAATATCAACAGTTCCAGAAGCAGTCCTATTTCCGCTTGGCTACGCCATTTAGAGATCAAGATTTCAAACCTCATCAGGCAACACAAGCTCCTGCTGACAATAAATATGGAATGCTCGGTTTGTTGAGCATCATGAAAGGAAATAATCCAGCCATGTCATCACTTGCTCGGGGTATTGATCTAACCACACTGGGTTTAAATTTGAACTCGCCAGAGAGTGTCTACAAAAAGTTTGGATCTCCATGGTCTGATGAACCTCTCAAAGGAGAGCCTGAGTATCAAATCCCAGAGTGCTATTATGCTAAGCTTCCCCCTGAATTGAAAGTGAGCAATCTAACTTGATAAACAGAAGTATTAGATGATTTCTATTTGCTGTCCAATAACTGTTATCTCGTCACTTGCAGTCTAGTTATTTCTCAAAGTTCAGGGCAGAAACATTGTTTTATATATTCTACAGGTGAGTGTTTATCTTCATGTCTTAAATTTCTTTTCTGTTGGATTTTCAGTGTTTGTAATCTTGACTCGTGTCTCCTTTCTCCAGCATGCCCAAAGATGAAGCCCAACTTTATGCAGCTAATGAACTGTAAGTTTTCTCGTTTATCGTTTCCGTGTTCTTTTAGTTTTAGTTGCCAATTTTTTTTGCTTTCCCATGTGATTCTCTGGTGAAAAATGGTGCTTCGAGTATCATTGTTCATGCTCAGTGGTTAGCTGGCAAAGTCTTGCTGAATTAATTTCATAGTATTTTGATAGTTTGTGATTAATAGTTTGTTCAGACATCTACCGTGGGGATTAGTTTGATTCCTTTTTATATAGAGCCTTAGTGGTTTTATTATTCTGTAGACTGGTAGTTCAGCATTACTTTTGTTGAAGTAGAAACCAAAATGGCTTCAAAATGACAAAGATGCAAAATGGATGAGGAACGATGATGTTGATAAATCTTATGGCTTTGATAGGGGATATCTAGTTATGGTTTAGTACTATTTTGTTTGTATTTTGCCACCACTCTCAGACTCCTTAGTTCTTGACGAAGATATACACTTTGGACTTCTTGAAAAGGGTTTTTAAATATATCTGGTTTTGTTTGTGTTGCAGATATAACAGAGGCTGGTTCTACCATAAAGAGATTCGACTGTGGTTTGCGAGGATGATGAATGTGGATCCTCCTATCAAGACACCAGCTTACGAGAAAGGGTCATATGCATGTTTTGATCCCAATACCTTTGAGACCGTGAGAAAGGTCTAGACTGCATTCCATAAACATTAACTTCATTTCAGTTGGATAGCAAACTATCTAATCCTTGATCTTTTACATCTCTGATTCACTTAAACCTCTTGCCTTGCAGGATAACTTTGTTTTGCAGTATGACATGATTGAGAGAAAGCCCTCGATCAACCAACTGTAGCTCAGATAGCTCAATGTTGGTTTCTGTACTAGTTTTATTGATTTAAGAAAGATATAGGAAGAAAGGAAACTTGCCTCAGTTTGGGGGCTTTTTTGGGTGTGGGCATTTGTAAGCACAGAAACTGCATTAGTTCATTCGTCTGTAAATGAGCCTGTGCCCTTAGTTTTTGGAAAACAGCCTTGTTATAATATGTGTACTTCAAATTGTCTGATCACATTAGTCTCTTTCTCTTTCAGTTTTCTGTGAAATGAGGAATGAGGCTGTGGTAATAGGTTTTTTTTTCTTCTTCAACATAGAATGTATTATTGAAAATGTAGACAATAGGCTATCCTAAAATCTTTTCATGGTAACACAAGCAAACACATCATTAGATCAAAACTTCACTTGGGATTTCCCTTCCTTTTTTATTTCTCCAAAATAAATAGAACGATTAAAAAAAAAAAAAAAAGATATTGGAAGCCAGTTAACCGTTGTGTGTTGCAGTTACAGCCCGCCAAAACCGCACCCAATTTTTTTTCCTTGTTTTAGCGGTTTCATTCAAATAAAAATTTTCAGCCCACAGTTGCATAATCATCATGTTCTGTGATGGAGGCACTCTCTCAATTCTTCTTCTTCTTCTTCTTCTTCTTCTTCTTCTTTATGATGATGTTACTAACTATCCAACCCATTTCATCAATTCAAGTTCTCTCCAAAACCAAACTTGAAAAATGTGAGAAGGTTTCTGATTCTAATGACAACCTTAACTGCAGTTACAAAGTTGTTATCGACTTGGCAGTTCCTAGTGAGACAGTAAGTACGAGGTTTTCAAGATTGAATTTTTTTTTTTTTTGGCCCCCTTCTTTTTTTGTGCATTAAATTCATTCGTAGGATTGACGGGTTCTTGTTGTTTTCATGTTTTGTGGGTCGCAGAGTGGGAGGGAAGCTTCAATGGTGGCTGAGATTGTTGAAGTGGAAGAAAATTCGACAAACAATATGAGAACACTCAGAGTTCCCCCAGTCATCACTATTAATAAATCTGCTGCCTATGCTTTATACGATCTGAGTTATATAAGAGTACGATTTCGATGCTTGAAATTTCCTCTTTCTCTAACCCACTGGAAAGAAGTTTTGGATTGTCTCAACTTGGAGTGCTTTATGTAGCAATTTTGGTCTTGTCTTGTAGCATATATGAGTCTCTTTAAGGAGAAAAGGCGCCGGCTTTGATGGGGTGAAAAGGAAAGCTTTTAATTCAAAGCTTATTTCCAATATGTTAAATGTGAAAATGCCGTTTTTATTTGAGGGGGTTGGTTATGAGCTTTTCTAGATTACAGGGATGCAGATGTAGCGAATTGTGGAATGCTTGTGGTTGAAGAAAATTTTTCTATTTCCTGGATTTCTTTCCTGAATTTATATATGGTTTACCTGCCACCTTCTTCTGGATTTCTTTAGGATGCACTGTTAGCGCAAAAAAGGAAGTAAACTGATAGTGTAATCTTGCATTTGATTGTTTAGTTTTTGTGCACGCTTCGTTCAATGAACGAAAGCTTTAATATGTGCTTGCTACCGTCACATTTATGTAAAGTCTGTCATTTGAAAAGAAAATAAACAAATGAAACCTACGTCTGTGGTTTTACTTATTTGCCGGTGCATGGTGCCATCTTTCTGCAGGACGTTGTTTACAAGCCAGTGGAATATTATGTGGAGACGCGGAAGTGTGAGCCAGATGCTGGGCCAGATGTTGTGAAGATATGTGAGAGGCATGTAAATTGATGATCAACTTCCATAATTTATTGCAGCTTGATCTTAAATTTACACATACTAAGTTTGGTTTTCCTCTTTCACATTTAAATTAGTACTTTATGAATCATATATAGGGACTATTTTCTTTCATTTGCATTACCTTACTGGTCTCTTGGTGTGTTTTGTAGGTTGCGAGATGAACATGGTCATATTATTGAGGAAACTCAGGTACTGTTGACTTTTATGTCAGAGGGTTCTATCACTAATAATGAACATATAAGCAAACATGGTGTTTAAGAGTTGCTTTCACTGTGGCTTCCAGCTTTTTGTGAATGAGCAATATCTATTCTTTTTTACTTTGCATGAACTGGACTTCACATTTGTAAGCATTAAATACACAATAGTTTCCTGCTGTTGCATGCGTCAGACAATGATTGATTTTCCTTTGCGCATTATCGTAATCTGAACTTTCTATATCCAGCCTACCTGTTGCCCATGCGGAGACCAGCGGAGGGTACCTTCGTCCTGTGGAAACTTTTGTAAGCTCAATAAAAATTGCAGTTATCGTCGTTAATTTCCTCGAGATTTTTTGTTTTATGTATTCTTTCTTGTGTTTAATTAGTTGACAAGGTGGTCAAGGGGAAGAAAAATACAGCACATTGTCTAAGGTTTCCAGGTGACTGGTGAGAACCATAGATCCTTCCTTCAGTTTTAAAGTTCTTCTGATGCAGATTTATCCAGAATAAGAGTTAGAGATTAAAATATGCATGTTTGGAAGTTCGTGCGTGGGTATGACAACTTACACAAGTGAACTTTTGTTTATTTACTTGATTCATGTAACTAAGAAGCTAAAGATTTGAACATTTTCCTTCCCTTTTTTTAAAGTAATGAAGTTACTTACTGGTCAAAATAATAATATCAGCAGAGTGGAGATGTAAAGACATGGTATCCCTTGTGGGAAGAACCTACTTTGAAGTTCAGTTTTGCTACAATTGCTGTAATGCCTTTGAACATTGAAGTAGTGATTTGCATTTTAAGTTTCATCAACTGTTGTCATTCACGTGTCAAAGTTTCTGCTGAGTTGATGACGTTACAAGTGTGTTTTCTCTATATTTAGGTTCCATGTATTTGGGATTGGACAAAGCTCTGTTGGATTTACCATTAAAATTGAAGTCAAGACAAAATCTAAAACATCTGTGAGTATCTTCAAAGGCTCTTTTAACATATAGAGATGAAGTCTGGATCAATTGCCAGGGATTTCCTTGGAGATGGGCTAATTTTATTTTATTTTTTCATTTGACTGGTCACCCAATGGGTAAACTTGCTGTCAGGAAGTGATTTTGGGTCCTCATAACAGAACTGCCACATCCAATGATAACTTTTTGAAGGCTAACCTTGTTGGAGACTACGTTGGATACCAAAGTATTCCATCATTTGACAATTACTACCTCGTTATTCCAAGACAGGTATGAAAAAGAAATGTAGAAACTTAAGAAATATATAGCTGTGTCTTACCTACTGTTTCATTGTGTTTAAATCTAAATCATCAAGCGGTGTTAGCTTCTGTAAATTATAGGCATTTTCGTACTCTTTCATTAAGAGTTGATACTATAATTGTTTATTTTCATTTAGGCAGTATGATGACCATTTTTCTGAACTTGTCCTGTTATAGGGTGGTCCAGGGCAACCTCAAAATCTGGGGAGCAACTTTTCTATGTGGATGCTCCTGGAAAGAGTCAGGTTTACTTTGGATGGTCTTGAGTGTGACAAAATTGGTGTTGGCTATAGTGCTTTTAATGGACAACCAGATTTCTGCTCTTCGCCATATTGGAGTTGTCTTCATAATCAGCTGTGGAACTTTTGGGATGTAAGCAGATTATTTTTTATAACTCCGCTGATCATTGATCCTTCAAAACCTATGTTGCAACAAAATCTTGAGATAGAAGCTTTTAGACAAAAAAAAATGAAAATAAAATCATATGTTGAATTAGTTGCTCATTTCAGGCTGATCAGAATAGAATCAGTAGAAAGCAAGTCCCACTGTATGGTGTGCAAGGAAGGTTTGAAAGGATAAACCAGCATCCAGTTATGTCTCGGTACTACTCAGTTTCCCAGTTTGGAATGATTTCGTATGAGTAGACTAATAATAATTTAATCTTCAGAATGCAGGAAGTCACGCATTCTCCATAGGAATAACTGAAGTTCTTAACACTAACCTTTTGATAGAATTGAGTGCTGATGACATCGAGTATGTCTATCAAAGGTAAAGCTTTACTTAATTGAATCAATTTTCACGTAACTTGCAGAGTAAACTGGAAATCTGAATTCCTTTTAAGCCCCGATAGATCCCATTGCCACAAGGATCACAGGGATTTCAACCATACTTGTTTTCTTTTGCAGGAGTCCTGGGAAAATTATAAGCATTACTGTCCCCACCTTCGAAGCCTTAACTCAATTTGGGACTGCAACTATCACTACAAAAAATATCGGGGAAGTAGAAGCATCCTATAGCCTAACGGTAAACAAGTGATTGTTTCTTGTATGCTTCTCAGTTCTCAGTCTGGGTGTTGATCAGATTGATAATATCAATGCATTTCTGCATTATCACTTTGATGCCGCATGTTGACCCTGGTTTAATTTAGTATGTTCCGGGAGACACTAGTGTTACAATAGTTGGGCCGCAAATTTTTAACCTTTCTTATTAATATGGCTATAGAAAAGGAAATCTAATTTCACCTTCACATAAAGACTCATTGGTTATGTAGTAAGTTTTCAATTTATGCTTGATTTGAAATGGATTGCGAAATAATGACTTTTTATGATGGATGAAGAATACTGGTGTATTTTTTTTTTTTCCGTTTATGCTAAGTACTTAATACTTGTTAATGCTTTGGGTCAGTGATGAGTTATGTATTCAGGACTTAGATTTAATTTACTTTTCAACCTTGCAGTTTGATTGCTCAGCAGGTGTCAGCCAGATGGAGGTACTTAGCAATAGTGATAGTGCAGTTTCTGTTGGATATTGCCTCTTCGATTGATATAGAATAATGTATATGATTGATGCGCTTGTAGGAGCAATTTTATATAATGAAACCAAAAGAAGTCACAACCAGATCATTCAAACTGTACCCGACATCTGATAAAGCATCAAGATATGTCTGTTCAGGTTCGAATTTTGTTGTAGGTTAATCAAATTTATCCATGCAAAATTCTTTCAAGTTGAAGTTCTCAATTCATTTGTTTTCTCGCTTCTTCAGCCATACTAAAAGACTCTGGTTTTAATGAAGTGGATCGGGCTGAGTGTCAATTCACAACTACAGCTACTGTAGTTGATAACGGAACTCAGGTTTGGCTGTTATTTAAAATTTGTCTTGTCTATTGAAATAGAAGTACACCATGGTGTGAACAGTGAACTGTGGAAAAAGAAATGAGAACAATCAACAGTTTGCAATAAACAATTGGTTGAATTCTCAAGTTTTTACCAATTTTCAGATCCCATTTCAACCTCCAAAGACCAGTATAAATGGCTTTTTTGAATCCATTGAGGATCTATGGCTCAAATTGTGGCATGGTCTGATAGATTTTGCTTCCGGAAGAAGTTGCAGGTATGTGATCATCCTGTAAAACGGGATTCCAAGAAGAAAATTTTATAGTTGACCATCGTGGTTGCAGTTTAGCAAGAGTCTACCAATATGTTTACAGGTTTTCCCTCGTTTCATTTCGTGATTCAGCTTATGAATTTAACAACTTTATGCATGTTTTTCTCTGATGAACAGGAGTAAATGCTCCGGTTTTTTTGACATAGGATGTCATATACAGTATATCTGCTTGAGTTGGGTAGTTTTGTTTGGCCTTCTATTGGCAATTTTCCCTACAGGTAATCATAGTTACTGGAATGGCAAGAAAATTCAGAGAGAGTTGAATATGAAATCTGGATCAGATATGCATGATGCTCTTTTTTGGTTTCAGTTATGGTGCTGTTTTGGCTTTTACATCAGAAAGGACTATTTGATCCTCTTTATGACTGGTTAGAGGACCATTTTTGGCCTGCTGAAAACAGAAGTGGTGACTGGTGGAAGTACGGCATTGCTCCTAACTCATCCAAAATTCAAATGAAAAGGAATTACAAGCATGAAGATAGGTTTGACAAGCATCGGGCACATAAGAGGAGGCGAAGTACTCATGAACATCACCGACACAAGCTTGTGGTAGGAGAACCAGATTATCAATATCAGCTTCACCGAGTCCATAAAGACAGGCACAACAAACATGGAAGAACCAAGAGTTCAGGTATTACACATCAAGTTCATTTGGATAGAGGGAGGGAAGACAATGTTGGTCGCCATAGACATGCAAAACGAAGAGATCCGATCGGAGGATATGCGCATGGTGCTGGACACCATGACAAGAATCGAGACAAGTATTCAAAGCATAATAAACCCTTCTTGGAAAGCACATAGATTTAAGTCTTTGTCTTTACAAGAATGTCTACAGGTCAATCTTTCTCTTCATGGAGCAAGATCTCTCTGGGACAAGAACCACTGCCGTCGTCTGGTGGATTGGTAAAATCTTGTTACTTTCCCCAGCCAGATCTTTCTTGTCTTAGGGTAAGAACGCATTTGAAATGAAAACAAGGAAATTGGTTCAATTTCCAAGTTCTAAAGTAGATGTTTAACTCAGTAACAGGTATTTCTTACATTGATTTAAAATAGATGTTGCTCATGATACATTGGACTGAAGATGCCTATTTTCATCTTCTTTTTCTTCCTTTTTTTTTTTTTTTTTTTTTAAAGTTATCAGATTTATTTTTATTTTTTTCCTTGTTCCTATGTCTATACAAAACAAGTCTAAGCTCCAAAATTGGTTTCCGTCGGGAGCAAAATGCCGTGAACACCGAGGATTTCTTCACAACTTCAGGCTGTTGATTCCCTACTTACAATATATTTTGCCTATTTTTATCTATGATAGACAAGACTTTTCCCGACCATCATTTTCATATCATACATTGTTGTTGTTCCTGCCCTGATTGAACTTTTTCAGAGAGCTGAACAAAAAAACCGTTTGGAAATTGCAGTCCTGGAGTTCGTAGTATTTCTCCTCCACTGATAGCTTGGCACCTGGGATAATATTGTTTACAAGAAATCAGTTAGTTTCTGCATTTCACATGAAAGTTTACTCACAGGAAACAATAATATTCGTGGTTCTTACTTGTACTTGGTGACCAAACAGTGAAGAAAGACGGCCATCTGCAATTTTGTGAAATCTGTACCAACACAGAATCTCATCCCCCCTCCAAATGCCATGAAGTTTCTAGTTGCACCGTTCATATCGATTCCCTGCATATGATCATAATCTGGTTAAGACAACCGTGTTCAAAAGCACCGATTAAAAATGAATACATGAGAGAGTAGAAATGATGCATTGGAGGTCTAAATTATGGAAGAGATGACCTTTTTTAACTCCTTGAGTTTCTCACCTGCCATCTCCATGGATTGAACTCGAGGGGATCTTTATATCTGGAGGGATTTAGGTGCACAGCCGGAGGACAAGCCATAACAGCCCAACCAGCCGGAATGGTGTAACCTGCAAATCAGAATTTCCAAACTCCCAAGTCAGTTTTAGGTTGGTGATCTGACTGTGAAGTCCATTACAATTAATAATGAAATTCTGCGGCATATACCTTTGAAGTGGATATCTTTAAGTGCTTTTCTGAAAATTCCGGGAACAATATTTGCCAACCTTACTGTTTCATTGATTACCTGAAAGTTTTGAGTTAGTGAGTAAAACTGTGAAGTTTATTACAAAGCTTAGAATCACTTCAATTGGGGTGGGGGTAATTCACCTGAAATGTAAATGTCATGGACTTGAATTCACTCCAGGTTAGAGAAGAATCAGGATTTTCCCTCTTCCTTATTATTGCTTCATGCTCGGCCTGAGAAACAGCAGAGTATAAATAAAACTTCCTGACGAATTTCAGTGCATATTTCCATACTTAAGTAGGAAAAGAGAAAGCATACATAAGATTGCCCTCTCACCGTTAATTCTTTTAATGCAGATGGATTTTCCGCTAACAACTTTACTGCTAAAGTTAAAGCCAGGGAAGTGGTCTCAAAGCTGGCAAAGAGAAGCACAAACATCAAATCCAGAGCAATTCCCTCTGTAAGAAGTGTATCCTCCCTGTCTAGTTCTTGCAGAACATAATCAAAGAAATCGCTTTGTTGCTTTCTGGGATTCGCCCGTCTTTCTTGCAACATGGCCTTCAACTTTTTCATTGCTCTCTTCCTTCCCTGATTGTTCCAACAATTAACAAATTGGTTATGTTTTCTCCATGAAAGTAATTAAAAACATAATGAAGTATTTATTTCAGTAATATTTATGAGTTGCCAGCTTAAGTATATACCTTTAAACACTTGTGATAAGCTGTTCCAGGAATGTTTAGAGGGAAAGAAATTAAGCCCTGGATGAAAGCTACAAAATTTTTCCTGAGGTTCTCGGACGACTTCTCGGGATCATAGCTTATCAGTTTCTTTGCAGTGAGATCAAATATCAACTGCAGAATCACCAATGTGCATTAACTTTTTATTAGCTCAATTGAATCACTAAATACACTTTGGAGACATTTGAATGAAGCAGTATATCAGAAACTCACACTTGCTGTTGCATCTTTCAGCTCAACAGAATTTTGTGTAGACCACCTTTTTAAATCTCTATTAGCTGCCATTTCAACCTCAGGAAGCATTCTCTTAAGGCCTTCTGGACCAAACAGATTTAGAACCATGTTCTTAAGGTACTTGTACATGAAACCATGGAGAGAGCCCACATTCTGTCTTCCAAAGATCTCAGTGAAAGTATCAGGATACCAACTCTGAAAAGATTGGCCCTCTTGTTGAAAGATGAAGTAGTTAAGATCTGAGTCTGCAGACACTATAACAGGCCTTCCCACCAAGCTAGTTTTAAAAATTGGACCATATCTGCAAACCAAACATCCAAAAAGATGGCATTAAATAAGGTGCAATGACTGAATAATGGCAATGGCAGTTCAGTTGTTCACATGTTACATGATTTCTTTTTTTCCCCCCCTTTTTTGGGGAGAACTGCAAAATGCATCTTACCTCTTCATTCTTTGCTTGACGAAAGGATTAATGTCGAAAGTCGAAGTAGGAGCAAAGAATTGAAGAGTTTCACCAAGGAGTGGCCATCCCATTGAACCTGGTGGAAGTAATCCATTGCATTTGGGATTTCTCCATTTATATACAAAATGTGCAATGTAGAGAGAAATCAGAAATGCAGCAATGCAGAAAGCTGCTGCCATCTTAGTTAAGCAAACAAGAAAATGATGCAGAACTTAACTAAGAGAAAAAGAGCAAAAAAAGAGTCTGAAAAAAAAAAAAACAAAACCAATCTTTCAAGATTATGAACTATTGGAAAAAAAGGTGCTGCAATGCAGGTGATGGGTTTAAGTTTAAACTTGGAGAGAAAAGAAAAGGGAAAAAAAGACAGAAGAAAAGAAGAAGACAAGTGATGAGCAGGAAGGGCTGGCATGTATGTTAGTAATCAGAAAATGCAGTACTTAAATAGGCAAGCCAGAATTGGGAAGTAATAAAATAAGGGGGCATAAAGTTGGCTCCTTTTTGATGGTGTAAGAAGTTGGTTGCTCAAAAAAAGCTGTACATGTAGTTGGAGATAAAGTAGAGAATTGTGAAAAAAAGGGAATAATTTTTCGTCCATGAAACACCCTTACCTTTCGTCAACGCAGTGTAATTAAAAATTAGGTTTTAGAAAGCCTAGCATGATGATGATGATGATGCAGTTCAGAGGATGCTTCCTGTCTTTTATTTTCCCCCTCTTCATGTCTGATTAATGTGCACGAGTTAAGCACAATAATGGACATTTTGTTTTAAATGGAAGTTTTGCTTAGGTTTGATAAGTTAAGGAGGCGGTGTAGAAAACAACAAAAAAATTTCTGTGACGCTTTTGATGTTATACTACTTTACGTGACTGTTAAATATTTGATACATCTCTCTAATTAATCACTTTCTTGATTATGATTCACTTACATTGCGTTCCACAAGTCATCATAATTATGGAGTGTGTAACACAAGACATATAACTGGAATTCCGATATGGTCTAGCAAGTAAAAGAAAAACGATCTGCAAAATGAGACAGATTGGTACAAGAATCTCAGAAATGTTGGCTTCATTGCAAATCTTTGCTAAATATTTGTGTTGTTATGTACTTACCTATGAATGGAAATGCTGCAAAACATGTGTTAGTCCTTTCCTTTGTTCAGTTTTAATGAATTACCATTGGCTTGCTAATTCAGTTATTCTTTTTTTAATGACATCTCAAATAAAGAAATGGATCTTCTCCTAGATCCTATGTAGCTGTACTCCTCAAAGTTTTGTCAAATTCATCAGAATCTTAAGTACATCATCTGTGATCTCCGAATCATATTTCTGTGGATATGCAGGCAACCACTGTATCTTTGATAACCGATCCTTTTTTCCATCCGTCTCAGAATTATTCTTCTGTTTGTTATATTAAAATAATACCGCAAATATAAAAAAAAAAAAACATTTTGGGCTTAGTTCTGTTGCAGCTTGTAACTGTAGACAATTATTACTAAACCAAATGTTGGTTGAGTTTTTTTTTGGAAAATCGCCAATGTAATGAAAATTCCAGCCGGCCGGCCGGCCACATAGAGCACCGCCCCCCGCCTTCCGCCTTCAAGGGCATCATTATGCCTTTGAGCCACCAACTTATACCATTCAAACACTAGATGGTAGGTTTACTGTGTACCATGAGAGATCACACCCACATTGGTTTTAGTTTTTTTTACCTACTTTGGATTGGCAAAATTCACTTTGCGTTTTACCCTTAATGGATGTAACCATTTTTTTTATTTATTTATTCATTAATTTTTCTTGGTTCAGTTTCACAAGTATGAAAAGGATCCACTCGGTTAAGTGAAAGAATCTTTAACATTTTTTACGTTTAGATTAGGGTTGTGTCCCAATTTATACGTATACAATTTTAGAACCATGTCTTACGGTTCGTTTTTCAATCAGCTATTAAATTTTTAAATAAAACTATGTCTTGTGATTTTTTTAATAATTAGAATAAGAGAACAAAACTCAAAAAATAAACTAATTAATGTATAAGTTAAAGAGCTCTGGGATCCAAAAAAATTTGTCTGGGAATGGTTTTTTGTGCCTCGTGTGCAGCAGACCTGAAACTGTTGGAGTCAAAAAAGAGCATAATTTTTTTGCTTAGAAGTTAGTGTAATTTCCGGCTTTTTGTAAATAACGATACTCTCCGATTTTAAAATTATAATAATCCGAATTGAATATTCAAATTTGTATCAGTATCAAAACTCAATCTGAATTATTCTTCTTTTCGGACAAAAGCAGTAGTATTAAATAATTAATTGCATAATAGCGATAAGGATGGTTCGAAAGTAATCAAAAGGCAAATTGTGAATTAAACACGTTAATGTTGGTGAGCAAATGACAAAAAAAAAAGCCTAATGCATCGAAATTTCGTAGTAACGAAATGGCCTAAAGAGCATCTTCATCCTGCTGGATTAATTTTTAGCAGTTGAGCTACTCCTCTAGCTAGTTCGCATCAATCCTTACATTTCTTTAATAAAAATAAATTGTGAAAAGACCATTTCAATAAATTCCCACACGGATTTGTGCAATCGGTGATTAAAGTTCGAGTTTATATATATATAAAGAAAATGAATGGATCCACTCTTCGTGTGTCAATGGATATTCTTCTGTTTTGATCAAAAGAGCGTGAATGGATTTGATGCTGAGCAGGATGATATAGATTGCTTAACTAAGTAGCTCTTTGGTCAAAACAAACTTAATTATATTTTTATTTACGAGACATCCTTTGATCTCTCTCTTTTTTTTTTTTTAATTTATTCCAAATTCGAATGAAAAAGTACGAACAATTTTGTCTCAAAAATGAAAATCATTTTTCTTATACTACTAAAGTTAGTAGTCAATTCTTCTTAATTTGAGACAGAAAAAAGGGTTCACGAAAAATATGAAACTATGGTCATGATTGGAGGAAGCAAACCACCAAAAAAAAAAAAAAGAAATTAAGGGAAAATAAGGTTAACCAATAATTTTTCTCTGCATGTTCACCATTCTTTGTTATTACCTATAGATTAGATTTCGTTTTTCTTTCTTGATATTTGATTTTTGGGTCTTAACGAGATTTATTTCCACGGCCACTATGTAGCACATACTCTATCTATCCAGAAATTATCGACTAATTTAAATTTTTATTGTTAGTTCAGTTCAATTAAAATTAAAAATTTAAATTGAACAATAATTTTGAAATAAAGGGAACACTATATTCGAAGAAATATCTTTCCAAAAAGAAGATACACACACTTACACATATATAATTTTTTATTTTCAACATTCCCGTCCTTTTTTCTCCAAAACATAAACATATTTCTTCCAAGAAAAGTTTTATTTCTTACAAAAAAAACTTCTTCAGAAAAGCTTCTAAAAATAGACCTAAGACTCGTCAAAGAATTGGAGAGGAGTGCTGCGACGACAAAGACAGCTAATGACATCTTGGTTTAAGGCTTACACAAATGATTTTTTTTTTTAAAAAAAAGGAAAAAAACTGAATTATTTAACAAAAACAGAATAAAAAGTGTACTGGTATGGTACCTAGTCAAAATGTCAAATTCTTTGGACTGACACTACTTAGTTAAAAAATATAGTTCAATTAATTAATCACTTAATTGTTGGTTTGGTGTTATATTTTTGTAGTTTGCACTTTGTGCTATTCTACGTTGTTTAGTAGGGCTGTAGGGCTACCTGTCTTCAAGTTATAGTGCAAAAATCTGATGTGTAGGGACCCCCTGCAAAGAGGCTTTGGCCTAATTAAAATACTGTTCCCCTTTTTTTTTTTCTTAGAATGAGTTTTTTTAAAAAAATTAATTTTAGGTTATTCTTAAAATGAGATTAGTCGTAAACCCACATAAACATGCAAGATTAGGGAGTGTCTTCCAACTCCCAAAAATCATTTTATCCTTATGCTAATATTTTCAATGATTGAGGATATCCTTTTATTTATACTAGTACATGTCCCGCGCTTTGCGCGAGTTTGTTTATGTTGAAAATTTATCTTTCAAAAGAATTAATAAGATAATGTAGTCGCTAATATTTCTTAAAATCGTAATATTTTTTTGATTAATCAATTTTAGATCAAAATGAGAGGTATTGATATTATTTATGAGATGTATATTTGTAAGATCTGGCCAAAAATATTACAACAAAGATTTTCAAAAGTTGTATAATAAAAATTATCACCACTAACTAATGTTATGTTTGGATTAAAAAATATATTTAAAAATGCGTAAATTATGTCTAGATGTCTATGGCTTATTTATAGGCAAAAGGACTTTGGGGATTAGACACAATTAACTGTTCTTGAAATTATAAAATCGATAAACTTGAAAACTAAGTAGCACATAAATATAACTTTAAGGGCTAAAATGACAATAAGTTGAAAATGATACTTGATGGTCAATAAGCGACACGTGTCGATTATCTTTCTTTCATTTAATATATATATAATGATCTTTCAATTTGTGGTCTTTGTGTCCATTTTTTCAAAATAAAATACTTTTTCACCAAATATAATTAACAATTTCTTTTCTCAGTCGCTATATTGTATAAATATTTTCTTTCACGGTTATTATGTCTTATGTTTCTTAAATTGTACGTGAGTGAAAGTTATTAATTTTCTTTTACTAATGCTATTTACTTGAAGACTCATATTATTCAAAATTCTCTTATACTATATTTTGATGTGATTGTACCGTTTGAATTTTACATTTGTGTATTAAAAAAAACTCCAATTTTTTTTTTATAAAAAATCCAAATTAAAGAGTACATATGAAAAAGAAGTCGAAAGAGTTTATGCGAGGTTGATCGGGTGATGTGGCAACTTTCCAACCAATGGTTGGCCAAATCTTTTATATATATATTGGGAGAGCCAAATCTTTTATATTAGTTTCAGCTGAGCGTGTAGAATTTTTTATGAGCGTGGCTTATGGTAATCTACTGGGGAATTATATTAAAATCTCAATTATTTGTCTTTTTCTTCTTTCTTATTTCTTTTCATTTTCTTTTATGAAGAATCACGGTTATTTTTCTTGTTGACAACTACTACAAGATGATGATCAGTAATCCGCAAAATAATTTGAAAAGAGATAGCACAGGATTAACTGCCATCTTTTACAGAGATGGGTAAACTCGTCCGTTGTAATAGTATCATTTTTCAAAATCTACTTCAAATGTTAATCATGGAAAATAACTGGTTTTTAAGATATATAAGTACCGTATTACTCTGACGTAGTATTCCATGAATTCAAATGGAGATTCACTCGTCTTCTTTATATTATTTATAATAAATAAATTAATTTGGTTCAAATTTATGTCTCAAGTGATTAGAAAAATTTGTTTTTGTAAAAGAGCAATTACTACAAAATAAAGTGTTATTTTGAAGTGATTTTGTCCCTAAAAAATGAGTCGTGTTTTGCATTTGTAGACTCTATAACAACATATTTTAGCTTAACTTTTGTTGTTTATTACAAATCTTAATTTACCGGATCACTTGAAGAAAATGTGAAAAATAACCCGTTTTATGAGCGTTGCACTTTTCCCTGTGAGAGAACCTTTGATGTATGATGTAATGGAGTTATAATTAGGATTGAATTTGAAGGTTGGTGCGCAATGGCCGACATCAAGAACATGGTACTTGCGCAGTATAAAATTATAAATTAGGTAAAAGTGGCTTCAAATTAAGAAGTACAAGGAGAAGCAAATTGACCATATATGTCATGAAAATTAATGACCAAGTTATGAATCCTCGTTTCTTTGACTGTGAAATTTAGCATAAAGTGCTTCAAGTGTTTGCCTCGTTACCACGACAATGCTCCTGGTCAATAGCCAACATTTTTTGTTGCTTCACTGTATATATATAGTTCAATTATTTATGGAACAAAAACCTTGTAGTGATTGATAGATATGTTTGACCAGATTTTGGTATGATTTTATTGAATACCTTACGAATAAGATCTGAAAGAGAGTATTTGATTGCTTATTTATGTATCCATCAAGTTAAACATTAAACCCTTTATTCTCACTAATTTTGCCTACCAAACATGTAAATAACAACCCTCAAGAAGGATCTACTTACAACGCTAGGTGTGATTACCACAAGACAAGGGTTTACTCGATTCAAAATATTTTAATATAAGAAATAATATGGTAATTATGTCACAAGTATGCGCCTCGTCTCTCCAGTCTTGCACTGTCCGCATGCATGTAAAAATGCACACACTAAAAAGAAGAACAAAAAAAATTATCGTAGATATATATATATATATATATATATATATATATATATTCAGCCTGTTTCACATAATGCACTTCAAGCCTCGCACTTTCAGCTTCTATACAAATCATAGGCTTTTGTAAAATGTTTCCTTGTCGATAATTACCTACCTGCAATTGTTAACTTTTGCAAAGATTTAAGAGATAGATTTGTGGCGTTCTACTTCTTATATATAAAATATCCATGCAACGTTAATAATTTTGATCTAATGCCTCAATAAATTAATCAAAATTCGTGTACGTTAGTCCTATATTTTGGAAGATGGTGCCGTATTAAGTAATAAGGCCGAGGGTGAGGCCAGGGACCTATCTAGCTAATAGCCTAATACTACTATAGCTCTCTGCCAATCAAGAGCTTAACACACGACAGATGTTAATGAGAAGAATAATTAATACTCCTTTGTCTTAGGGGGGAATATCTGGGTCGAGTTTTGTAATTTATACTATTTTCTTTAATTAATTTTAAAATTCGATGCGGATTATTTTTCGGTAATAAGGAGTAATGGATTCATGTACCAACACTTATGTAGAAAAGGGTAACTTAACTTCGGGTTTGGATCCTAGCTAGGTCTTGCTTTAAAAGATCCTTTCCATTGCACACGTAGGCAAATTTCAAGTGACGGTTATAAGAATGGCTTATAATAATCACCACTACTAATTCATTTGTTGTTTGTTTTGAGCTTCAAGTACCTCCACAGCCAATGTACTTTTTGTCATGATCACTTTACGTAGGTTAAGGATGGAAACTTTTTTGAAAGGTGTTCTAAGTTTCCAGTTGACCCTCCAAGAAAACAGATGCTGTCTATAATTTAGGGTTCTGGCATGCGCCCCGATTTTGGGGGTTGACTACTTTGGTAGTAAGGCACCCTACAAACCGTTGTTAGGGCTACAACTTAGGTATATATGTAGTTTTCGGAATTATGGAAATGAATTTCCGTTTTTTTTTTTTCACGAATGAAAAGGCACAATCATGGTTAAACTTTGCAATCTATAAAATGAGCAATAATTCGAGCAGTAAGTAATTCAAGAGAAAGGGATTAAACCCACATATTTTAATTAGAAGCCATATGCATACATTGACTTAAACAGTTCAACAAACATGATTAATTGTCTGGATTATACTGTACAATATCTTAAACATTATAAACTAAATAGGTGTTGCTGCTCAAAAATAAAATCCTTTTCTCACTAATCAAGCAATTTGGAAAAACAAAATGATATTCCCTCACTTCATGCAAAATCGTACTCCCTCGATTTCAAAATGCAAGTCACTTTAGACATTACACGTAAACTAAAGAGACAATCATACAACAATTAATTTCAATCTTAAATATTCGTTTTACCATTCATTAATTACATTGAAACTATAAACTAGACTAAATAAAAATGGATCGACATCACTTATTGAGATTAAAGGTGGAAAATAGTCTTTGAAATGCTAAAACGACTTACATTTTGAAAAATTTCTTCAAGTCTAAAACGACTTACATTTTGAAATGGAGGGAATATTTTTTTTGCATACAACTTGACGGGATGACAAAGGAAAATGATCTAATAGTGAATTTTGAGTTCAGTGATAACATCCTATTTCAAAGTGTTCGCGAAATAGAAGCGCTCCTAGGTCCTAACATCCGTAGTTAAGATGGAAGAATTAAGAAAAACGATAACCGGTCATGGTTGACTAAGTTGTTGTTGATCTTAATCAACCGAGACTCTTTATTAAGCTAGCTAGTTGCATGAAACATACAAACATAATGTTGACGTGTTGTATACTGATAATGAGTCAGGGAATCAAAACAATCTAGTGTTTCAAGGTAGTTAATGTCAGTAAAACTAATCGATCCACTTACAATATTTATTTAGACAATTGTTCTTGCTTAGATACTATATTTGTTACATGGCTGAAATACAGTAGGCGTGCGTAGCTGATTAGGAGCAGCCAAAAAAATCTCAACATAATTCAATAAATAGAAAGAAAAAAATTACTACACCTCTGAAGCATCTGGTACAAATGTCACCAGTTTGTCGGAGAATACGAAATGTATTTAAAGCTTAGATTCATTGTTCTGGGATTAATCTGTTGTTTCGAAGAAAAATATATTGGGTGGACAGTACATTACGCAGAAGCGATTCCATTTTTCTTTAATTTGTTCCTTAAAATCTAAATTATATTATTAGTGTTCCTAATTATTATATCCTAATTGTCTCGCACTAATTTCAAGAGGATTTTTTTATTTTTTAAACTGTAATTTCATCAGAACTGCTATGGCAACTATTTTTCTTAATCTTGTTTTTTCTATAAAAAAAAAAAAAAAAAAATCAACGGTGACCACTTTGTACATGCAGCCTGCAGCACACAAAAACACAAGAATCTTTTGAGGTAAAATATATAAGTTGTAGTAATAAAGAAGTAAATTATTATTAATGGACAGACAAGATAAATATATATTCTTGTGTCTTTGCGTTCCTCAAGTCATCCCGTGGCGGATCGTCAAAGAATCAACACCACTAATTAAGAATATTGTATAATTTTTCTTCTTCCAATCTATTTACAAATATTTAGTTTTTTAACACCGCGATAGGTTACAATCTTCATACAGTTTCGGTTTGGACAAATTAGTTTTCGGATTTAAACTCATACATTTGATTTCTTTATGAAAGAGGGTGCCCAATATTCTTGAGTTTTGAATCCAAACTGTCCCTTCCTTCCTTGGTGTGTCATATATGTTTGACGTCTCTCTCAAACTCGATTTATTGTGGTACTACTTGTGTTTGAACTTATTTTCTTTGACTAATTCGAATTCGAGCACGAGTGTATAGATTTGTCGAAAGAGAGGGAGTACATAGATTTTATTGGCTTTAATCCACCTGAAATGTAAATTTCATGGACTTGATTAAAGTGGCTTCCAAGTATGTAATCAGGTTTTTCCCTCGTCCTAACTGTTTCTTCCTGTTCGTCCTTTCAAAACAGTATATAATAGGTTATCCCCCTCCATTAAACATAACTTCTTGACGCAATCTTATTATGAGTTAAATGAAGTGCCACAAAGTGATCTTATTCAGTTATCGAAAAAGTACTACAAATTGATTTTCTTGATAGGGTTGTGTTAACATAATTTGTGCACGAGATAAGCACACCCTCTAAGCCTAAACCTAGAATCCCAGCCACATCTAATCCAAGGAATAAATACCGTAGTAAACAAAAAACAGCAAAAACTCCAAAGAAGCAAGGTCCCTGAAAAACAAAGGACATGTAGTGTAACTTCCGTTGGTTTACACAAAATCCACCGGTCATGTTTATGATTCTGCGGAAATAGAATACTTCCTATGTGAAACAATGAGCAAATAGTTAAACAAAATGGCCTAAAACAGTACAGATAATTTCTGCCCTTAATCAGATTTATGAAAAGTACAGTCTTGCCTGGCAAGAAGGCCGTAATGGGAACTATATTTTAGCTTCCGCATATAGGATTTTGTTTCACCATGTTCACATTTACTTCTACATTTACTTCTACATGTTCACATAAGATACGGGGAAAAAAAAAAAGGGTTCGTGAAAGCAACTGAAAATGCTGAATGTGTTGCAAGTTTCATTGCACTTTGCAACGTTTGTTCTTTGTTTTTTCCAGAAATGAGTGCATCTTCATCACGTGTAAGAAATTATGGCAGTAACATAGGAATGCAGATCACTTGAAAACCCATAATTCTTTCATGTCAATCAGCTTTTTTCCTCTTACCTCAATGTGTTACAAACGAGAATTTGTTTATCAGAACTGTCACTGATGTCTTCAGCATAAATTCTCTAGTCAGATGCATTTCCATCGGGAAACAAAAATATACAATCGGCCACAATAACCGAAACAGACATCGTTGTGAATCACACAATCACCTAACAAAACATCTCCATCTACTACCTGTATACCTTAAGGGAAGCTTGCCAGCATCCGATCTCCACCCATACATCATATATGCAGCCTGTTTTACAAGCCCCACATTCTGAATCTCTGAACGCCACCAAGCAGAAAGGGAACTTCGCAGGCTATGAACCGGACTTTTACACAATTGAATTACACACCAGGAAGTAGGAGAGGAAAAGGACCCACAAAAATAACCCAAAATAAGAAGACAGACCAGACGTGAAGCTCTGATGTCATCGAAGCATCGAGACTTGATTTAGCCAACCCAAAAAGCAGGTTGTATTAAGTAGTGACAAAACAATAGAGAGTAAACTATCTTGTCATGAAACTTTAGCTTTTTCCGTGGAACTCAGTTTCCTGATCCTTCTATCGTGGTTAAGCATGGAAGAAACACTCTCAACAACCAACACAATCTGCGTTTTCAGAAAGATAAAGAAAATCAAAACAAACACCAACAACTAGCATAAGGAGCAGAATTGCATGAGAACAAGTTTTGATGGAGATTTTCATTTGAAGATGAGTATTTCAGAGCGAGCGTTAAACAAATAACCTGGAAGCAAGCATATGCCATTGCAGTAGCGAAGTAAAAATTTGCATTGCCAGTTCCCTGCAAGTTTTTCCATATCAAAGACATCAGACCTTTTATAAAACTTCTCTACTAAGATTAAAAGATTCAAAATAACGAATTACCGTAAGACACATACCCTCCATATCCATAGATTATGCATCACTGGGCTAAGTAAGGACACTCCAACATATCCGCAAAAGAGGAAAAATGAAAATTGTATTTCTGCAGGGTAGACAGGAAATTATAGCAACGACCAGAATAGATCAAAACCAACAACAATTGCAAACACATGGCTACCTGCTAATTCATTGGTAAAGAGCGCCAATAAACTCAAGTATAAAGCAGAATCTCCAACCTGCCGAGTGAGGGTGAAGGAGATGATGAATATTAATCAAGAAATTATCACAGTAACTGAAGTGTTAAGAAGATTACAAGAAGAAAAACAGTAAGCACTTGTTTGGGGAGCTCAAATTAGCAATCAGATAGTATATTACACCAATTTTAATTCCAGAAGGATGGGAAACTCACCGATGGATAAGATTTAAGAATTGAAGAGATTGCCATGTACACAAAAGCCAGAAAGCACGGCCGGTTGTATAACCGTATAGCCAGAGGCAAAATCATGAACAAAATATTTGCATGACAAACTAACAGGAAAAAATCCCTGAAGAACTCAAAGACTTCTGCAAAGAGGTACCTGCATCAAAATTCACAAATTGGTCACACTTGAAGACCTCAATGAAGCCAACAACTTCCAACCAGACAAATCTTATAATTTACATAGCACTTACCATTGTACGCCTATGTTTGGAGAGAGATCTTTAACAGTGAGGATAAATCCATATGTCCTGTATACAACCAAACAAAAAAATTGAGAATTGAAGCTAGGCTGATATGAATCCAAATCTTAATGTCCAAATTTTAAATGTTCAAACATTGTCACATGCTTTTGTTTTCTTTTTCAATGTACAAGAAACATAAATAAAAATATCCACCCTTTGAGCATCTACTCAAAGTATTGTCACTCAAAAACTTGATTCAACGAAGAACAATCTGAATGAAAAAAGTCACTACAATGCAATCTATGCAACAGTATAAATTTTCATTTATGGTAGAAAGCCATGAGATACCTTTCAAACATCTCCAGCAGACCACCAGTCTTTTTCAATGAGATACCACACAGGATTAATAGATAAGATGCCCATATTGCAGCCCACAACGTGAAGAGCAAAATAGGCCTCAGTAAACAAAATGTTGCCTGCGTTTTTATACTTCCAATATGACTATCACTTCCAATATCCTTGCCAGCTTTTGAAGAGAATTGTGAAAACAGTTTCCTTGGTGGACCATCCACACCGCAGCCGAGCAAAATGACTATCTGCAATGAAACAAGGAGAAAACTATTTAGATCAGCATAAAAAGCATGCAGAAAATGCTGGAATTTCTTCCCTTCGTGCATGTGATTGTAAAGACGTACCGGTACAACCAGAAAAACAGGGTATAGAGACAGATGCGATGCTAGCACCCAACCAAAAGCGGCCAAAGGTACAAGACCTGTGATGGACATGAAAATTTAAGATGCCAGAGATAAAGGATAAATTTAGAGGAAGAGAAGTGTTGAAGACTATTAGAATCACTGAACAGCTCCTCTTGGCAACACAAGTACAATTAAGTTTCACATGAATGACATATTTATTCTAAACTGAGACCTTCAGAGAAAATTAAGAAAAATACATCAACCATAGGCAAACATACCATGACAAGATGAACAAAACTTACCTGTACATGCTCCATAGAGGGACAAGATCACAATCATATTTTCAATAGGCGTCGAGTTAAAACCTACACAGGTTAGTATAGTAAAAGGGTTCCATAAATACACCAGAGCAGCAATATCCCCTGACGGCAAACTCCCTGAAAAATGTATAAGATACGAAAAGGTTAAAACTGGAGATATAATTATTAGAAAACAAGAAACTGGAAAAAAAAAGGAAAAAAAATAATAAATAAATTATTCAAACCTTGGACTAACTCTGCAAGACCAAGCCATCTTAGGTTCTGATCATATGCAATTTGAAGCCTCTGACCAATCCCTCGAATAAGAACCGCGGAAATAGAATCTGCAACCACAGACAACAAACTACATCCAGATATGAGTTGAAAATTTGACATCATCCATCTTATCCAAGCAAAAGAACAAATACAATAAAAATCAACTCCCAGAACTTTTTCAGGTACAGGTAAACGGGAAGGATACCTGCATAGTAGATGATTTGATTGCCCTTCAAAACTGCACAAATCAATTTCATAGAAGAATACATTAGAAAACAAAATACTGCCATAAACAGTAGCAAACATTATTCAGCTGGATTTTTTATACAAGAAAAATTTCCTACCTTTTCACGGTGAGAGGTCCCAATATAGAAAGTAACAGTGGCGATCCATGATACATAGAACCTGAACATAAGAATGCCACTCATAAAATCAACAAAAATTTCAAAGATAGGGATTATGACTTAATAACAAAACTTTAAGAAAGTTTTTAAGTGGTACAAACCGGCATAAGGCGACATTGATAACTTCTTCAACCAGTATCCTTCAGCGACTAAAGGAAAACAAAAATGAAAAAGAGAATTGTAATTAAAATTCATCGAAACAGTAATTCAAAGCTACAGAACAAGAAGAGTGCTCACGACGACGGAGGCTAGTAACCGGGGTGGAGACTTCCGGCCGAGAAGCCAAGTTAAGACTTATTGGGAAGTAAATGAGGATCAATCTGAACAGCACAGCTGCGGCGGCCCATTTCCAGAACCCGAACCCGAAGGACTGTGTTTCGACTAGCTTCCGTTTCTTTGCTTCAGCTATCTCCTCCATCGGATTAGCTGAAGGTTTCAAGTTAGCCGGTGGAATTGAAGAAGGTATCGTAACGACGTTCTGAATTTCACCGAATCGCCGCCGTCTAGTGTCACGGAGAGATGCCGGCGATTCAAATTTAGAAAAAAAAAAAAAAGAGGAAAAAAACGAGTTGTTTTTACTTGGAGAAGCCCAGTACGAAAGGGCTTAAAAACAAGAGTAGACATATTAGCCCAATCTTAATCATCGGCCTATGTTTGTTGAGCTTTTGGTCAAAAGTTTTAGGAATAGTGACTTAACTTTTAGCCCAATCTATAATCTCCTCGTTCGGCCCAGATTTAACTTTCAGAGTTCATTCTTTCTTCAAAAAATGTGTGAGACTGGAGTACATATTATGTGGCCAATGATTGAATCTATTTTTGAAATAATCCCCTGATATATTTAGGTTTTCCCCTCCAATCTGTTGAGCCTTTCATTTGTGGATCATTTTCTTGTGTGGTCTTAAATGTTGCATCAAGGAAATCAAACCGGAGTTAGGTATGGCCATTCCAAACCTCTCAATAGAAGAGTGTTAAGTTGGATTCTCATCCCTGCAAATATGTACTAGTAGTTTCTCTCTTTTCCCCTTTCAAAAATTTTTAGTGATCATGCTCAACAATGTTTAAAGGAAACCGTTTTCCAAATACCAGTTCTTCCCCTTCCACCGTCAGAATTCACAAATTTCATAAGCTCCAATGGAAGAAGATATAAAAAAAATTTATGAAAAAAAAAAAACATTTATATGTCAAGATAGTTATAGTAATGAATATATCCATGACCCCAAGGAAAAATAGTTGTTGTAACAAATAGCATAACTCATAATGCAAAGCATTACTCCATTTGATATAAACTAAATGAGAGGACATTTTCTTACATTAAATTGTAGTATCTCTTAATGATTGCATGTGACGACTATCTTTTTTTTTTTTTTGTTCTTTTTCGTGTTAATTTCAATCATTCTTTGCAATTACGTATAGTAAACTACTTCCTCCGTCCCAAAATTATTGTCCAATTTGAATTTTTCATTTCTACTTCAACTGGTACTAAAATTAAAAATACGATCTATACAATAATTTTAGGACTGAAAGAGTATTTCATATTTCTTAATTCAATTAAGTACTAAGTCTAAGATCACCTCGTCTTTCTGAAAAAAAAAAAGAAAAAAAAAGAAAATCACAAATGTGTCAAATTCCAAAAGATTATTATATTCAATCAAACCATTCATTCTTCGAAATGTCAAAACATCTTCACACCTAAGCAACTTATTCCCCAAGACATTATTTTTTATTTTTTTGCTATTTCTTCCCTGCATTTTCTGGTGAAAAGAAACATGCGTGAAAGTTTAGAACGTGTTAGGACCCTTCAATTTACCAAACTGCCATCGGCCATTTTAAAAAGACTCAAAACACCCCTCAGTCGTCAGCACACACCTGTATAGTATAAATATAAATAATATTCTTCATTAATTCCTCCACGCCAAAAATTTCACATATTCTTTCATCTTCCAAATTTTCCCAGCATACTGTTTTCTCTCAAACAGAGCGATTAAAATTCGAAGATATGGCAACTCTAGAAGATATCGAGACTTTCATGAGCATCGCCGGCGTCTCTGAAGCCGTTGCAATTCAGAAACTCGAGGTGATTATCCATTGTTTTTTCTTTTGTAATTCGATTTTTCTGTTATTGATGTTCTTGATTATTGTTCAGTCTTTCGTTGTTTTTGGTTTCGGAAATTGGAGCTCAACTAGTTTGTGATTTTATTGATGATTTTAGTAATTCGATGATGAACTTAGTTAGCAGTTCATTTAGGGTTTTAATTGGGAACTTTCCCGTACTGTGATGTGTCTGATTCGAGTAGTGTAAAGTTATTGTCTATAATTATAGATTTTGAAATTGAATCGCCGTGCTTTAGCTGTTTTAAATTGTGAATGTGTGCAAGTTTCAATTGAATGAAGTTTTGGGAAGTCTAATTTGTAGCAAGGACCACTGGATATACCTTGATTCTTTCAATTTCTTTCCATGCCTGTAATGATTTGGAATTCGCGCGGAATTTTGTATAAATGTATGTTCTAAAAATAACTTCTGTAGCTTAATATTTTTATTTCGACATATGTCAAAGCATGTCTTGTTTCAAGCAGGACTTTCCGGTCCTTGCTCTCTTATCGTGAAACTAAAAATTCTTTCCATATCGGGGAAAAGAACGGTCAAGGAGTAAATGAAAGATAACTTTGTGGGTGGAAGTCTAATCGACGTGTCAAAGATTTTAACTGTAACTATGTGAATGTGTGTCCTTTTTGAGTCCACCGGTGCAGATCTATGTGCCAATTTTGTAACATAGTTGATAAACAACCATGGGTACTGCCTAAGGAGTTTCATCCATGTTCAATCTTTTCATTCTTGAGTACCATTTGTTTATTTCGATTAATATTATTATTTCATGAATTTCCAATTCCGATGGTTCGTGTTTAAATATTAACTGGTCATTGATTTGCTATCCCAATATATAAACATGGATATAAAGGTGCTTGTATGTGATTCTTTGGTCTTTTGATTTTATGGATAGCATTGCCGTTTCTAATTGGTGTGCTTCTTTATATAGTTTGATGTTGTATGGTGGTTGAGATATTTGTTTCCTCCTCTATTCTAGGTATCTTCGTATCATTTAATTAGCGCCAGACATTAACTCGTTGGTACAGTTGACTATAAATGACTTGGAAGTTGTAAAGAAAAGAGAGGTGTTGAAATTTAAGAGAGGAACTAGTTACAAAAGAAATATGCCCTGGCCTAAAATTTGAACCTAGTGAAGGACTTCTTTTTTTTGGTCTGATCTCTCTTCTTCTGTTGCCATTGTATGGCAATGGCATCGATAATTTAATGCACTCATTTTTTAAGATGTCAGCCATGAGTGATTTAGACAGAGAAGGAGAAAGAGTTATGCAAGGTTTTATGAATTTCCTCTGTTGTCTGTCATCCAGTGAACAACTAGCTTACTTGAGGTCAAAGTTGTAATCACTAATTGTTTTCAGTAAAATATGTTACTAATAGTTGCATCTTATTATACATAGTTCTTTTACTGTTTTGGACTCTAACCTTCTGGCATTCTTCTCTGTGTTGTTGACTACAACCATGATAATCTGTGATCTTTCTTTACTTTACCATGGAGCTCTGTTCTTACCTTTCTCTCCATATATATGTTTGTTGCTGTTGCACTCAGGAACATCGCGGTAATCTGAATGCAGCTATTAATGCTCATTTCAGTGAAGGAGAGAGAAACAGGTTGGTACCTTCCTGTATCTGTCGTTTCATCTGCTCTGCCCTTCCTATCCTTTTCATCTCTTTTTCTACTTTACCCCTCCCACTGATAAGAGGAGGCATGATTGTGAATACTTTGCTTGAAAGATAAATAGTAATAAAAAGAATATGCAGCTAGTGTAAGTCATAGTCACTTGTTAAATTGTTTATTCGAATGTGGTTCATCTCATTCTTCAGAGTACAAGAGACACCTGTTGTTGATGCTCAAGATGATGTCATGGAAATTGATGATCCAGTTCAAGTTGGGCCGCATGCACCTCCCTTCCCTCCGTTGTCATCCACTAGAAACTTGAATCCTTTTTCTTTGCTTGATCCGAACTTCAGCAGAAGTATATTTGATAGTGGTCCTGAAATTATAAGCCGTTCTCCTTTTGTTTCCCATCCAAGAGAAGTGAGGGAGATTCCAATAGAGGTTAAAGATGGCAGTGAACAATCTAGCCGATCTCGTAATGCTCCGACTATTGAGGATGTTACTGGAACCTCACAAGTTCATGGCCCTGAAATTCATGGCTCAGTAGTACTTACTGATGATAATGACGAAGAACTTCCAACTGCTCCCGCTACGTATGCCTCTGCGCTAAATCACGGCATAGTTAATCGCTATCCAGATGCACCTAGTTCCAGGCCATCTGCCCCTGTAATTGATGATTTACCTGATTACAGCAATGATATAGAAGAAGAAATGATCAGAGCTGCCATTGAGGCTTCTAAGCGGGATGCTGAACTGTCAAACCATCAACCTGAGGTTTGAAGCACATCCAATGAAGTCTCTGAATAATCCATCTGCTTTTCTCAGTTTATGTATAACGTATATGTGTTTTGCTACAGGTTTTGGCCGATCCCTTACCTCCTCATCAGCAGTCTCACTTTGGTGATACTGACTATGCACATGCGGTTTCGTTGTCACTGGAGGTTTGCTCTGGTACAGCTTGCTTTTGATTCTTTCTCTTAATCCTTTATTCCTCTAACATGAAATTTATGCAGACTGCAGAAAGAGAGAAAGCGCTACGCGAGATGGAGGGAAAAACCGTAGTTTCAGATTCGGTTGCATCAGCTGATGCAGAGGATCATGGGAAAGCATCAAATCCTTCAAATGGGAGGTTTGTGTTTTATCGGTTATCGGTTACCTTTTTTCTTGAATGTTTCGTAAAGGAATTTGTCAATGCTCTTTCTCATGCTTACTTTTCTGGGCATTTGACTAGAACCATCGGTACCTTTTCTGTTTCTGCACTGTAGTTGTATGTTTCAATTTTTTGTTCTTGTTTCCGTTGCCAATGTAGGTTGCATGTAGGGAGTACATCTGCCCCAGATGAAGAAGCTGAAGACATGGAAGAACAACCACTGGTTAGGCATAGGAGCAGACATACATCCATAGGATCTGTTGAAACTGGTGCAGATGTTGAAGAAACTGATGTTAGACCAGCAAGCCTGGAACGTGATGGTAACCTTGATGCTCCACGGGTCAATGGCAACGAGTTCCCAGATGAGGTATTTAGAATTGATGTTTTAGAGTTTGTGATTCTGTATTTTTCTTTAGCAATGAAGCTTGAATTGTTCTAATTGTTATATTTAATCACTTGAAGTGGGGTGGCATCTCATCGGAGGAACATGATGAAGCGGTGATGCTTGAAGCTGCCATGTTTGGTGGTATTCCAGATGGAAGTGGATATGGTCTTCCATTTGCACCTCATCAGCTCATGCAGAATGGTTTGAACCAGACTATGGGTCCTTATGCTCCCAGAGTGCCTCGGCCTCCATCACCAACTCTCACTGCTCAGCGCTTGTTACGTGAACAACAGGTGTGCCTTTTGAGCTTGCTAGTTCTTTGAGATTTGATGGTACCTGTAAGGCTGTAACAGTGATGATATTGTATAGGATGATGAGTACCTTGCTGCATTGCAAGCTGACCGAGAAAAGGAATTGAAGGCGAAGGAAGAAGCTGACGCTGCGCTAGCTGAAGAGAGGCGAAAGGAAGAAGAATTACGTAGGAAAATGGATGAGGAGCAGGTAAAATTTTTTCACTTATTGAAATCCAAAATCATGTTCTTCAGGGATTGATTACTCAGTCCTGTTGTTAACTGATGAGCAGGAGATTGAGAGACAGCTAGCTGCCAAAGAAGCTTCGCTTCCGCAAGAGCCACGATCAGATGATGAAAATTCCGTTACCCTTCTTGTGCGGATGCCTGATGGGAGCAGGAGAGGTCGTCGGTTCCTTAAGTCTGATAAACTCAAGGTATATTTGAGGCAATCTGGAATTTTTAATTGCTGAAAACAGCTAGTTTAACCTGATGGATTTTCTTATTGCCTTGCAGAGCCTATTCGACTTCATTGACATTAGCAGAGTTGTGAAACCTGGAAAATACAGATTGGTTAGTTGCTTTCTTGTTACTGGAATTTGCTAAGTAGAATTTTAATGTTCCTGGAGCTACGGGTTTTCATGCAAAACCAGCTCTTCTGCAATCCTTACTGTTTGAAGTGAATCTTTGTTGGAGAAGCTTAACATTAGTTTATACGATTAGAGAATAAAACAAAGTGCAATTCTAAGTATGGCAATTTAAAATCTGCAGGTAAGACCATATCCTCGACAGGCGTTTAGTGATGACGAGTGTGCTTCGAGTCTCAGCGACTTAGGGTTGACCAGCAAACAAGAAGCCCTGTTTCTTGAGTTAATTTAGATGGACTGTAAAGCTATAGTTAGGACTTAGATGCATATCGCTGAAATATTGAAGTTTACAGGCATAAATGTTGGATAATTTTTTGTTGGTTTGTGATGTGGTGGATTGTATCACTTTTGGGGGGAGTACACTAAGCTGCCCCGCATTGGTGATTCAGCTGGGCTTGGAAATTTGTTTGGATTGGTTTATAGTAAAATAGAAAACACGTTCAAAATTTATGCCATTGCACATTGGAGACTCCTTTATTATTACCTTTGAAGTACGAAACACATCGTGATCATATTCATTGTGCACGCTGCATTGCGTATTACAGAAAGAGAATAAGGGAAGAGTTCCTTTTTCTTTTCTCTCTCTTTTCCCCCCCGGAAAAAGAAGACAGTTCCAGCCATAGTTGGGTGGTAGGATGGATATGACGATGACATACACAATGACTCCGGAAGTAGTACAGATTTCATGTTTTCTATTGTGGCAACAGGAATCGTGACGAGCTGCCGGACAAAATGACGATTCATCCTAGTTAGATACCAGTCTTTGGACCAAATTGGTCGTGAATGCAAACTGGGTACAACATTTTTGTATGAAATGGGTAAGCGAAAATCACACATTAGACATCACTTGGGCTTATACTTGATCCTTAGAGAAGAGAACATTAGTGTTAGAACACTGTCATTGACGTCTTCGGGATGTAGGAAAAGGTCATCTGGGTTATTTTCGTAACCTGCTTCTCGGCTAGTGAAGTTGCCTGTCAAGATCTTAGAACATTTCGCTATGGCGTTTGGTTTCAAGTCAAATATAGTGCAATGCACTCGAATAGACCAACAGAGAGATGCAATGGAAGGTAGTTTCCCCTTCACATACGTACTCCCTCTCTATTTTTCTATTTTTCTAGTTTTTGAATCCGTATCTAGGACCCTCTAGTGTAACACGTTGGCGGTTTCCCCTAGTGTATACTACCTCTCATTTGGAATATAACGTCTTGGCAGTTCACCTCAAATGTATATTTCCTCCCCTTCAGAATATGTATCACGTTTTATAATTATTATCATCACTGTTTTCTTTAGTCTCCCGTTATACGTGTTTTTGCTTTTTTCTAATACTTTCAAGGTGTCTATCATCGCCAATAATGACTAATCCTACTTTCCAAATTGTAAATATTTTGATGGGTAAAAGAATTGACGAAAAGACTCCTTTTAGAACCTTATTCTAATCATAAAGTATGAAGATCTTGGACTTCAATAACACAAGAAGCAAACTTATAATAATGATGAAAATTGATAATAATCTCTCTCCCTTCACTCATTCCTTTCTTGGTTAAAGAACTTATTATATTTTGATCAAGTTGCATTCATCATCTTCTTAATCAATATGGTTTTTTTTTTTTTTTTTTTGGTTTTTGACAAAAATATGCAAATATGCAATACTCTTTATTAATTTTATTCACATATACTTCAAAGAACAAGAGTGTATCCACACAAGATTCTAATACTTTTCGTTCTGAATTTAGTTTAGTCCACCAATGAGATCAGTTTAATTATCACCGTCAAAATTCGAAAAAGTTGCACTTGTTATAATTATCTGATAATGTGGATGTCCACAAGCTAGTAAAGTTGTATAGGAATTCTTTGTTTAGAGATAATATTTATAAGATTTTATTAACAGTTAGATGTTATCTCTATTTACTCTTATCTTGTATCTGCTATTCCTATAAAAGGAGAGTAGTCTCTGCAGAAATAATACACAGATCATTCTCTCTTTTTCCCTCTCTATTATGCTCTCCCTACTTGTTCTTTCTCTCAGCTTTATAACTTTGCTCTTTACTTTATATTTATAACACGTTATCAACACGAGTCTCTACCTCTTGCTAGTTTCGGTTGGGTAAGTGTTGTCAATTGTTTTTGTTTCTTTTATCAAGATGTCTAAGCTTACAAAACTTGAATTTGTCCCTCTTGACATATCCGGGAAGAACTGTTTGTCCTGGGTTCTTGATGCTGAGATCCATCTCACTTCAAATGGCTTAGAAGAAGCAATTAAAGCTGGAAACAGTGCCACAAATCAGGAGAAAGCCAAAGTCATGATTTTTTCCCGTCACCACCTTTATGAAGATCTGAAAGCAGAGTACTTGACGCTGAAAGATCCATATACTTTATGGACGAGTTTGAATGAAAGGTATGACCACCAGAAAAGTGTTATTCTTCCAAGAGCTCGTTATAAGTGGACGCATTTGCGTTTGCAAGATTTTAAATCTGTTAGTGAATATAATTCAACAATATTTCGAATAACTTCACTGTTGAAATTGTCTGGTGAAAAGATCTCTGGTGTGGAGATACTAGAGAAAACAGATACCACGTTCCACGCATCTAATGTGCTCCTGCAGCAGCAATATCGTGAAAAGGGATATAAAAAGTATTTAGAATTGATTTCTGTTCTACTTCTTGCTGAACGAAACAATGAGCTCTTGTTGAAAAATCATGAGGCCCGTCCAACGGGTGCTGCTTCATTTCCTGAAGCAAATGCGATAGCAACGCATCCTAATAATGGACAAGCTCGAGGCCGTGGTCATAGCGGGGGTCGTGGTCGTAATCAAAGCCGTCATAACGCTCGTGGTGGTCATAACAAAAATAATACCCACCAGAAGTTGGGAGTCAATGATGATAAGAATGGAAAGAAAAAGAAAGATGGTGACAAATGCTTTCGATGTGGCAGGACGAACCATTGTCGCGTATCTGTCGTACGCCAAAACATCTTGCAGATCTCTATTAGGAATCACTGAAGAAAGCATAAAAGAAGATAGAGACAAATTTCATCCAGAATGATTTTGTTGATGTTAACCATAATTTTGTTAACAATGGTTTTACTGAATTTGCTAGTTCAGATGTTGCTGATTTCTTTGTCAATCACTCTGAAGGTAAAGTCAATGCTGAAAATGTCTTTCAGGGATAGGTTTTTTCCCTTAGAGATAAGTTTTATATTTTGAATATGATGTAATGAATTTTATTTTCATTTAATGAATTTCAATTAAATATTTCCTATTTATGTTTATTTTATTGTCCATTACTTTACTTTTGTATTAAATAAAGAAAAATATTCTTATTTGGAATCTTTTTACTTTTGAAGATAATGGATGTCGCAATCAGCAATGACAAAGAAATATGTCTAGCAGACAATACAACAACACATTCAATACTCAAAGAGAGAAAATACTTTTCTCATATAGTGTTGAAAAAATCCCATGTTAGTACAATATCTGGGAGTAAAAAATTAATTGAAGACTCCGGAAGAGCAAATATAATACTACCTGGAGGCACTAAATTTTGCATTGATAATGCACTATATTCTCTAAAGTCTCAACGAAATTTGTTAAGTTTTAAAGATATTCGCCGAAATAGATATCACATAGAGACTTATTGTGATGGTAATATTGAGTACTTGTATATTACGAGTAATGTTGTTAGGAATAAAAATATCTTAGAAAAATTGTCTTCATATTCCTCCGGATTATATTACACATATATTACTACAATTGAAAGTTATGCTACGGCAAACCAGAAGTTTACTACAATTGGTTTCTCGGTTCTATTATGATGCGAAGAATTTTAGAGAATTCTTATGGTCATTCTTTAAAGAGCCAGAAAATTCTTCAAGCTAAAGAATTCTCTTGTGCTGCTTGTTCTGAAGGCAAATTAATTATAAGGCCATCAACAATGAAAATTCATACCGAATCTCCTCAATTCTTAGAACGTATACATGGTGATATTTGTGGGCCGATTCACCCATCTTGTAGGCCATTTCGCTATTTTATGGTCTTAATTGATGCATCAACTAGATGGTCCCATGTATCTTTATTATCAACTCGCAACATGGCGTTTGCGAAATTACTTGGTGAGTTGATTTGGTTACGAGCATATTTCCCAAATAATCCTATTAAGACAGTGCGTTTGGATAATGCTGGTGAATTTACATCCCAATCATTTAATGATTTGTCAATTGGGATTAAAGTTGAACATATTGTAGCTAATGTTAATACACAAAACGGTCTGACAGAATCGTTTATAAAGCGCATCCAGTTGATAATGAGGCCTTTACTTATGAGAACTAAACCCCCAATTCTGCTTGGGGGCATGCTGTGCTACATGCCGCATCATTAATTCGCATCAGGCCAACAAATTATCATGAGTACTCTCCCCAACAATTGGTTGGTCAGGGACCAAATATTTCCTATATTAAAATTTTTGGTTGTGTGGTACATGTTCCTATTGTTCCACCACAACGCACAAAGATGAGACCTCAAAGGAGGTTGGGAATATATGTTGGATATGAATCTCCATCAATCATAAAAATTCTCGAGCTAAAAACTGGAGATTTATTTACGGCTCGTTTTACTGATTATCATTTTGATGAATCAGTTTTTCCAACATTAGAGGGAAAAAGTAAACAGTTGGTTAAAAATATTAGTTGGAATGAATTTTTATTATCTTATCTTGATCCTCAAACAAGGCAATATGAACTAGAAGTTCAAAAGATAATTCATTTGCAATGATTAGCAAATCAATTGCCTGATACTCTTACAAACTTGAAACGTGTGACTAAATCACATATACCAGTTGTTAATGCTCCTGCCCGAATTGATGTCCCTGAAGAACCTTCTACCAGAAATCATGAATTACGGGTGCAACAAAAACATGATAGACCAATCGGTTCTAAAGATTAAAATCCTCGTAAACGAAAAGAAGCAAACACTGAAGATGGAGGATTCGAGGTTGTTAAGCAGCCTGAAGAAACTTTGCAATAAAAGATCCCGACATAACAGAAAATCAACTTCCTGAAGAAATTCAGGTACCTGAAAGTTTTGAGATGTCAATTAATTATGTTATGATGGGACAAAAGTGGAACCGATGTACAACAAAAGTCGACGATAAATTTACCTATGCTGCAACAGTTAACATTATAAATGAAAATGAGGATCAAGAACCAAGGTCTGTAGATGAGTGCAGACGAAGAAATGATTGGTCAAAATGGAAAGACGCTAATTAATCAGAATTAAATTCATAGGCAAAACGTAAAGTCTTTGGACCAATAATGCGCACACCTGAAGATGTGCAACTGGTATGATTCAAATGGGTATTTGTGTGAAAAAGAAATAAGAAAAATGAAATCAAGCGTTATGAAGCACGTCTCGTCGCACAAGGTGTTTCCCAGCGACCGGGTATTGATTATGAGGAAACATATTCTCTGGTAGTGGATGCAATAACGTTTCGATATTTGTTAAGTCTCGCAACAAGTGAAATATTAGAAATACGTCTCATGGATGTTGTGACTGCCTATCTATATGGGCCACTTGATAGCGAAATTTACATGAAAATTTCGAAAGGATTTCAGATCCCTAAAGGATTTGGTTCTCGAAAGTTTTATTCAATTAAATTGTGTAAATCTTTGTATGGCTTAAAACAAGCCGGACGAATGTGGTATAACCGTCTTGATGAATATCTGATAAAGGAAGGTTATTTAGATGATCCAATATGCCCGTGTATTTTTATCAAAAGATGTGGATCTGAGTTTGTAATTATTGCAGTTTATGTTGACGATTTAAATATGATTGGGACTCCTGAAGAGCTCACTAAAACTGCAAATTACTTGAAGCGAGAATTTGAAATGAAAGACCTTGGAAAGACAAAATTTTGTCTTAGTTTACAAATTGAGTACACCAGAAGTAGCATCTTTTTACATCAGTCTGCTTATACTGCTAAAGTGCTTAAACTTTTTTACATGAAGAAAGCACATTCTTTGAGCACATCTATGATTGTAAGGACACTTGATAAGGATAAAGACCCTTTTAGGCCTTTTAGGCCTAGAAATGGACATCCAAGGGAGAGTGTTATACTTATCTAATAATATGGATGTCCACAAGCTAGTAAAGTTGTATACAAATTCTTTGTATAGAGCTAATATTTAGAAGATCTTATCACCAGTTAGATGTTATCTCTATTTACTCTCATCTCTATATCTGCTATACCTATAAAAGGAGAGTAGTCTCTGCAGAAATAATACATAGATCATTCTCTCTTTCTCCCTCTCTATTGTTCTCTCTCCCTACTTGTTCTTTCTCTCAGCTTTACAACTTTGTTCTTCACTTTATATTTATAACAACATTAATTTATTTTAATGACAAACATATGTATATATGGCCTGTAAATTGGGCCGAAAAAACCTTTCAAGAGTAGGCTAACCAAACTTTGTTATAAGGACTTTTCTCACACAAATTTTACGAAATATGCAAAAAGAAAAAAAGAAAAAAAGGTTAACCTAATTCCGCTTTCTTATGATTTTTTTTTTATCAATTACTTAAAAGTTACGGGTAAATAGAAAAATTAATGAAAACAAAAGTGCTTATCCGATAATCTTTTTAACAGTAAACATCACACACAAAACATGTGATTGTACATCATCATAAATTGATACAAAACTGATTGAGAGAGCCTTACTGCGTAAGGTAAGCCACAAAACACACCTTCCTCCACATTGGCCATATCGCAAAGAGATGAAGTTAAAGTACATGTTCATAATCAAAAATGTCTTTTTTGTTAACCCACAATGTTAATAAAAAAAAATTAAAAAAAATATTTAAAATGTCTTTTATGAACAAAACAAACTGACTAAATGTTAAGTGGAGGAAATTGCGTTGGATGAGCCCAGAAATTGGCTTCAATGTTGTCCTGTTGCTGATTGAAATTAATACGCAATTTGGCCTTTTAGAAAGGTTGTTAGACTATATTGTGATGGTTACAGAACAGGACAGCAATCAGCCGATTTCGAACACAGGGAATGTTTACTTAATCTATCCTCTTTTTATGTTGTTAGTGACAGTGACTTCCCTACTACATTTACTTGCCTTGATTTCAGCACAAAATATAAAGAAAAAGAAAAACAACCCCACGAAAATGAAGAGATTTATTAGTAGCATCTCTTTTTTTTTTTTTTTAAATCTTAAGGACACCCCTGGTTAACTATCAATTAAGTCATGCTTCATATATGTCATAGTAGTGTATGTACAACACTCATCCGTCCAGAAGAAATAATTCACATTACAATATGTAAAATATGTAGTTTTTAATATAAGTTTTAAATTATAATGTGATTTTTTTTTATAGAATTGAAGGATTATTTTATTTAATAAAACAAACTTAACAATAGTTTACGAATCTTAACTTTTGTTATGCATTCGTGTAACCTGTGAAATCAACTTATTAGGAAGACTCTTAATTTGTGGGGTTAATGTATTGTAGTATCAATTTGGTGTTCATGTAAGACTCTTAGCTTAGCTATGAAATGAAAGAAAAAAACTATTCCATCCACTTCAAAAATTCTAGCTCAGACATTTTTTTTTTCTTAGTTTAATTTTGTATTGTTTTAGTTCAATAAATATTACTCTGATTTGGGACGCTTTTTTCCTAGACTTATGAGTACAACTTTATTTTTTTGACAGCGCAGTACATTTTTCCAGGAAATTTCACCATAGGGTGGGAACATATGATGATGTGTACCAACGGTCAATTGAAACGGTACATCAGCAGAGAAGACACGTGTGGCCGACGTGACCAAAATCTAGCGAAAAAACATCAAACCCCTCAAAAGCCTTTACCTCCGTACAACTATTTCCCAACTCCCTAACTCTCCTTAACGGTCGTATTTCTCCGACAAGTGGACAACGGTCACATTTTCAACCATTCTCCACCGTCCGATCTTTCATCCAACGGCCACCGATTGAAGTTTCCCAAGAACTCCGTCTTTGACAGTCTCTTCCCCCATACCCCATCATTTTTTTTTCGGGTTCCTAATTTTATTTTATTTTTTTAATCCTGATGTCCAGGTAAAAAAAATTTCATTGTCTATTGTGATCGAAGAAGTTGGGGGAAACTGGGAAGTCTTGGTATATATAAAAACTCTGTTCTGTAATAGTGAGTGAACTTTTTTGGGTTTTGTGGGGTTTTTGGAGGTGACAGTTCTTTTTGTTGAATATTATCTGGACGATGATTATTACTTCCATCCGTGCATGTTTGAAGGTTTTCTGAATGTGGGTTTTTCTGGGTTTTTTGGGGGAGGGTGGGATTTTATTAGTTTGATCTCTCTCAATTGAAGCAAATGGCATGTTTGAAGTTTTTGTCAAATGGTGTTTTCAGCTGCTTATTATCTGTTCAAGGATGTGGTGTTTGCTGTTTCTGTACTGAACTGAGTTTTAATCAGCTAAGAAAGTACGCTTCTTTGGTATGAATTTTGTTTAGATTTTCGGGAATCCGATGATTATTTGTATTCTTTTGTTGTAGGTATTAATTGATTGATTGATTCATATTTGTCTCTCATTCTTTGATTCTTTATGTTGTTGTGATCTAATTTTTTTTTTTTTTTTTTGCTAATCCACATTCTTTCCTGCACATAATCTTATACATATATTCATTCATTCATCATATAGGACACACAATCACATATTCTTCCCCCAGAGGATTTTTTTTTTTTTCACATTGATCTTCAATCGTTTTGGCATCGGATTCCTATTTTTGTTTGTTCTTTGATTTCTTAAAAACAAAAAAGAATTCACACACACTCACATTGTAGGCCTAACAGCATTCTGTTTCTCTTGACTTCTCCCTTTTGTTTTATAAAAAGAAAATTGATTGCCACATACCAATTCTTTTGTACATTTGATTCTTTGAAATTCTTTCAAAATAATTTTCGAGTGTGGGGATACAGAGAGAAACACAGTGAGAGTGAATGAATTAAAAGGGGTGGGTGAATTTTTTTGGAAGCTGGAAGAAACAGAAATCAAAAGGAAGACATTGGAAGAAGAAGCAGCAGCTGCGGTCCTGAAGAATGTTGGCAGGGTGCTCATCATCATCCACATTGTTGTCGCCAAGGCATAGATTAAGGAGTGAATCAGCATCCCAATTCCAAGCTTGTCATTTCCCGTCAATGAGCACACAGCGATTGGATTTACCATGTAGTTTCACGCGTAAAGATAATACTCAAACACGGTCCCAACCATCTATTAGGCCTGTTGGTCTTTCTCTCGAGAAGCCGGTTGATGCCAAGACCAATTCCCTTAAGCAGACTGTTCGTTTACCACCCATTTCTGTGAACAACAGGGATGATTTCTGGGAGAAAAACAAGAGCTTGAAGAAGAGGTTTGCAGAGCCGTTTGGTGATGAAGAAGAAGATGAGATTTGCATGAACAGAGCTAAGAGGAAAAGGAGGAATAATGCCAGTTCGGATGATTTCCCGGAGGAGGAGTTTGTGGAGGAGAAGAAGCTGAGTTTAGGCCATCTGGTTGGAAGTGGAAGCTTTTGGCTGCAACAACCGCCGTTTGATGTGGTGGTTCCTCGCTCTGTTCCTCCACTAATAACAGGATCCCAGGTTCCTTTCAGTCTTTCTTGTTCAGGGGAGGAAGAAAGTAGTGTTTGTTTTGTTCCCCGTGATGTGATCTGTCAGCCATCGCCACTGTCAAATAATCCTTGTTGGGTGGATTCTGTTGTGAGTCAGGTTACTAATTTGGGTGGTGATCATAAGAACGTGGAGAGTGGTCAAGGTCAGGGGAAAGAGGCTTCTGTATCAAGCACTTCATCCGGGAGTCATGGTTTGGTTCTCAGGTTGAGTGAGAATCCATCAGAGCAGCTGCATCGCACTGGAAACGGTTCCGGGAGGCCTAATCCGACGGAGGGCGCGGAGGTTGTTGTTCCGGGGCACATTGATGATGATGACAATCAGAGGGAGCAGGAAGGTTTTGAGTTGGTCAGCTTATTAGTAGGTTGTGCAGAAGCAATCACGTCGAAGAACATTCCGGCGATTAATCATTTTATTGCCAGGTTAGGAGAGCTTGCATCTCCAGGTGGATCTTCTCCGATGAGCCGCCTCACTGCTTACTTTACTGAGGCTTTATCCCTAAGAGTTGCGAGGATCTGGCCTCATATATTTCACATTTTACCGCCTCGGGAACTTGATCGCGTTGACGATGATGGCGGTACTTCATTGAGGCTTTTGAACCAGGTCAGCCCGATTCCAAGGTTCATACATTTCACCTCTAATGAGATGGTGTTGAGAGCTTTTGAAGGGAAGGACAGGGTTCACATCATAGATTTTGATATTAAGCAAGGGCTTCAATGGCCTAGCCTGTTTCAGAGTTTGGCTTCTAGGAGTAATCCTCCTACCCATGTCAGAATTACGGGTATAGGCGAATCGAAGCAGGAGCTGATTGAGACGGGTGACAGGCTAGCCGGATTCGCTGAGGCGTTGAATCTACCTTTCGAGTTCCATCCGGTTGTCGATAGATTGGAAGATGTTAGGCTGTGGATGCTTCATGTAAAGGAGAAAGAGAGTGTGGCTGTGAACTGCATTTCTGTTTTGCACAAGATGCTTTACGACAGCACAGGAGGCGCGCTGAGGGATTTTCTAGGGCTAATTCGGAGCACAAACCCGACAATCGTTCTTGTGGCCGAGCAAGAAGCTGATCACAATGAGCCAGTCTTTGAAACTAGGCTCTCCAATGCATTGCAGTATTATTCTGCCATTTTCGACTCACTAGACGCGAGCAACGCGCCTGATAGCCCGATCAGGAGGAAGATTGAGGAAATGTTCGCTCGCGAGATCAGGAATATCGTCGCCTGTGAAGGAGTAGAAAGGCAGGACAGACATCAGAGCTTCAGGAAGTGGCGAAGGGCGATGGAAGGGGGCGGTTTTCGGTGCATCAAGGCCAGAGAAAGGGAGTTACTTCAGAGCCAAATGCTGTTGAAGATGTACGGCACTGAGAGTTACAAGGTGGAGAAGCAAGGGGAAGATGGATGTGCACTTACTTTGAGTTGGTTGGATCAAGCTCTTTACACAATTTCAGGATGGGAGTTGGTTGATGTTGCAGGAAGCTCATCATCTTATACTCAAGCGGGTTGAGATTCTTCTTCTACTACTAAGTCATCATTATATATACTGTCAACAATATTAACTTCATTTGTCACATACTACACAGGAAGGGATAGCCAGATTCTTTGTAGGTAGAGAAGTTTTTTTCATCATTATATTCTTTCATTCTTTATTGCAGATAAGAAATTAATGTAATTCTGCTTGGGAAAGAACCATTTTTTCTTTTGTTATGACACATACAAGGTCGTACAGCTCTGTTTTCTGGGCAGATTGATTTCTAGAGCCATATTTATAGAGTTTTTAGTATCACATTGTTGATTCTTTTTGTTGTTGTAACTTGTAAAGTAAAGCTGGAATTCTTAATCAATACTGTAGTAGTAATCCAGCCATTTCTTCTTTCTTTTACAATTTGATGTAAGAAGAGTTGTTGATGCTGAAACACGACATAAATAAAATGATTTTGGTGGCATTTCAGTCAAGTTATTATATTTGTTTTATCTTTCCGTCTAAAAATGATTGTTTTTCTTGGCCCGGGAAATTTACAAGAGCACAGATTTCACTAACAGTAAATGTTGTAAGACCGTTACATATACCCCCACAGAAAAGAAGCTTTCTTTCTTCTAATCTTGTCTTTTTTTATCCTAAAAAATTTTCTGGTTCTTTTCTCTCAGCCGTCATCGGTCATGGCTGCTCTCTTTCCATCCTTCCGCTGCATCTTCACAAGATTACGGCCAACTTCCTCAATCCCCACCATAGCCTCCTCCTTCTTCTTCACTAAATTCACAATCCCACTTTCCAAATCTGTGTCTTTTTGCCTCTCTCCCCTTTCTACTGCCTCCTGCTCCTCCTCTTCCCCTGCACTCCATGTTACTACTCACCCAGGTAAACCCAAAATTACAAATGGACTTGGGGTTTTTTTAACTATAATTTCGATACTTAAAAGCTGAAAGTTTTGTTCTTTGAAATTGCAGAAACAACCCTGATTTTAAATGCGGATGAGAGGTTTTTAGGGGATGGGTTTGGTGGCTTTGGCTCTGTTCAGGAGCCTGCTGGGGATTCGTCCACCATAGCTGCCATTGTTACTTCTTTGGGTGGTCCTGCTGCTGCTGTAGGAATCGTTAGGTTATCAGGTCCCTCTGCTGTGGCTATTGTTGGGCGTTTGTTTCGTCCAAGTTCAAAGAAAAGGAAGACGAGTTCAACATGGAAGCCTAAGAGCCATTTTGTACAGCATGGTGAGGTATTGGACTCTCAAGGGAATGTTATTGATGAGGTATAAATTCATATTCCTTAGGTTTTCTATGGCTATGTATGAATTTTATTATCATTTTTGGTGCTTGTTGTGGTCGGATTGTGAAATGAGTAGGAGTGATCCAGTGTAAATTGCATCATTAAATTTAATTGATTATTTTTGGTGCTTGTGGTCGGATTGTGAAATGGGTAGGGAGCGATCACTGACGATTCCAGTGTAATTGCATCATTCAATTTGGTTTCGTGGAGTTACGCAAAGGCTAAAATGCGACTTATACACACACACACACACACATATATATAGATATATATTTTGTTCGCATGGAAAGAATTTTTAGTTGTTTGTTGGGTGTTTCATGATAAAAACTCTTTCTTTGCTTTCAGCTTTTTTTCCCCCCTTGGGTTGGAGAGGATGGAAAACTTATGATTTTATTGGCCAAATACCATTTATTTACTGCCATACAGTCATGTGGATGTTGTTGGGCTGCCTTTATGTCAGTTAAAATGTGAGCTGGTTCAAGACATGATTTACATGTTTTCTTTTCTTTTTCTTTTCCATACTTAATTAGGTTTTAGTGCTTCCAATGCTGGCTCCAAAATCCTATACTCGAGAAGATGTGGTTGAACTTCAATGTCATGGAAGTGAAGTTTGTCTTCGTCGTGTTTTAAAGGCCTGTCTTGAATCGGGTGCAAAGCTTGCAGAACCAGGTTCGCTTCACAAACGATTATTCTCATGCTGTACAAATGAAGGATTTGTGAGTTTAAGATGTTAAGAAACTCACAACTCTAAATAGATGAAGTTCATAGGCTTGCCTATTACCAATCCATGTGTAATTTTGATTAATCTTAATATATTTAAATTACTTTTCAAAAAAAAAAAAAAACTCTAGAATGTTACTGCTGTGAGGCTTCTTAGAGTTTTTCTACAAGCTATATCTTGCCTTGTTGCTTGGAAGTCAATGTTAAATGAAATAGAACAGTTGGGATATCCATCAGCTTGATTTCTGGTGGGATTAAAGCTTTTTCGAGCGGAAGTAACATATTACCCACATATGCATAAAGATTAGTGCTCTTGTTAACAATTGGATTCTTTCCTTCCCTTTCCTGTAGACAAAGTAGAAGCTTTTTTTTTTACTTTTTCTTTTTTATCCCCATTGAGTATTGAGATTCAATTTTCATAAGCGCTTGAAACAATTTTGGGTTTGCATGTACCCTATCCATAATTCTGACCTTTATGACCTGATTATTGTTCTTTTGTCAGGGGAGTTCACACTCCGAGCTTTTCTGAATGGTCGATTAGATCTTTCTCAGGCTGAAAACGTGGGGAAACTTATATCTGCTAAGTCAGGGGCTGCTGCTGATTCTGCATTGGCTGGAATACAGGTGATAAATCTTATTGGTGATACAAAAGCATAATTAAGATCTTTTACCAGGATAATACAAAAATAATCATTGTAGTATTTGTTTATTCTGCTAATTGAGCCAGTTCTTTTCCGTGTGTCTGGTAGACACTAATGATTAACACGCTTTCTTTCCCAGGGAGGGTTCGCCTCTATGGTCAGAAACTTAAGAAGAGATTGCATTGAGTTGCTAACGGATATTGAAGCTCGTTTAGATTTTGAGGATGAGATGCCACCACTAGACATTAATTACATTATAAACAAAATACACATCATGTTGCAAGATGTGGAAAGTGCATTGGAGACTGCTAATTATGACAAACTTCTGCAATCTGGACTACAGGTATTGTATCGGGAATAATGAGATAATTTATCTTGTCGGACTATGCTACCTGTGAAGAAGGGAAAAAGTACCATTTTTTATAATATGAATTCATGTTTGTATATTGTTGTATGAATCTTGCGTGGGATTTTACGGTTTGCTTGTTCCTTTTGTTCATCGGAATTTCCTTGTCCTCTGTACTTTATATGAGCTTTCTTAAGGGAAAGGAAATGCTACTTTTATTAGTACAGACATTTGAAACTTTTGATTCATCACCTTTTGTGAATTACAAAGAATTACAAAAGAATGCTTTCTGATTTTCTATACAAATGGAGGAAAAAGAACTTCGATGCTCTTAGAGTTGAACCCTTGAAAAGTTGGGAATTTTCCCTAGTTATTCATGTGCTGGATCTCAGTCTTTACTACTTACTTGAGTCCTTCATACAAAGCAGTATTTTGATCATTCCTTAACTATTATGTAACCTGTTCTTTTTTAAAATTTATTTGCAGATTGCAATCATCGGTAGACCAAATGTTGGAAAATCAAGTCTGCTAAATGCTTGGAGCAAAGTATGTTCTAGTCGCTAATTATTAGCTGTTAATTTTCATATCTTAGTGTTAACTGGACTCGGATACTCTTGAGCTACAGAATGGGTACCTAATTTTTTATTTTTTATTTTTTATTTTAAATTAAGATGAAGACAGTTATTCTGAGAAAAACAGAAACACCTGTTTTTTTGCCCCTGCACTCCTACAGTCACACACCTTCGCATTTTATCCCTTCTGTCCGGATTTTGTTGCTAATAAGCTTGATATATTAGTTTTGGTCTCCCATTTCCCGCTAAAAGTTTAATTTTAAGTATCTTCAGAAAAGTAAACTAGTTTTATCAGTTGGAGAAAGATAGGAAGTGAAGTTTCTATGGGAATTGTTTACTCTCTGTCCCAAAAAATTTGTCCACTTTGTTGTACTGTTTTAGTTCAGCAAAGTGGACTATTTTTCTGGGACGGAGTGAGCATCTTAATTTGTGTTTTGCTAGTCATGATTTTATGCCTACGTGGTTTTGCTAATCATGTACCATGTTTACCTTTTAGCATGCAGAGTGACAGAGCTATAGTTACGGATATTGCTGGCACAACACGGGATGTGGTAGAAACCAGTATATCAGTTCGTGGGATACCTATCACCCTTCTTGATACAGCAGGTATCAGGGAAACTGATGACATAGTGGAGAAAATTGGTAAGGGCACTGGTGTAATCTATGCTGATTTTTTAAAGATCAGTATTTGTTGATCATATCAGGCTTTCATATCTGCTCTAAATTCATGCATGAGTTTCAACACCTACAGGTTGAACCCACATTGCTACTACCTTTTTTTTTTCCCTAAAACTTGTTCTCTTCGATATGCAATCAAATACACAATCCAAATCTCGCTATGATAAGAAATTAGACTATCTTCATTTTGGCTTAGTTTTATTTTTTTGTCATTTTTCCAAAACATTGCTGAGATATTTCTAGGCAAACAATGCCTGGGAAAATCATTTAACCTTGACATGGAGTTAATGGATCTTTTTATCTGACTCTGTATGCCGCAGGTGTAGAAAGATCAGAAGCTGTCGCCGTTAGTGCTGATGTGGTTATCATGACAGTAAGTGCTCCAGATGGGTGGACTACAGAGGATGCCAATCTTCTGGAGAGGATTCAAAGTAACAAGGTATCACTGTGTTCAAGCTAGAACGTGCTGTTTCTGGTGTTGTTCTCCTGTTCTGCAAAACTTCTGCTTTAATAATACTTTAAAGCTGAGCATGCCTTGCATACCATTTACATTTCAACAACCATTATATAGTTAGATTATTTGCTGTTAATGACATGTTTTTCGGTTCTTGTGTATCATTTTACTTTGAGTTTTTTGCAAGCAACTTGAACCTATGTATGACTTTGCATTGATGATACTCCCATCTACACAAATTATATGGCAATGATTGGACTTCCAACCTTTGCCGAAGTTTTCTTCTGAAGTGTAGTACCATCTGATGTATAATCATCACAAAGTGATTACTGCATTGGGTGTGCATTGTTGGTTTTGCCTTCTTGAGTGATGTTCATTTCATTTTTTAGATTGAACTAGCTTGAGCACTTTGGACTAGCTAGGACAAACAATAGTAAACCTTATGGATTTATATGGGAGCTGACAAATACGATAAAAAGAGTTTGATTTTTGTAGCTAAGTCAAAAATCTGTTTCTAATGTAATTCACCATCATATTTGTAATTCTGAGTAGCTATCAAACTTTCTTATAACAAAATCTGAGTTTGCCTTGTCTGTTACTTTGGTTACAGAGTGCATCAGGATCTACCTCCCCGATTGTTTTGGTGATCAACAAAATTGATTGTGCTGAATCCGCCTCCCACAAATGGGACACAGCCTACCCTTTCCATAAGCTTATCTACACCTGTGCTGTCACAGGCCAAGGCTTACCTGATCTAGAGGCTGCCATCTCAGAAATCATTGGCCTTGATACTCTTCCATCTGGAGGACGCAGATGGACTGTGAACCAGGTGTTTTTTTACACCCTAAAAATTCACATCCAAGTATTCTCTTGATGTTTTTCATAAACTCTAATGCATATAATATTTCTAAAACTTATCTTTTCTTTTCTCTTTTCTTCTTCTTCTTCTTTTTTTTTTTTTTGAAATGTTTGTCAGAGACAATTCGAACAGCTGGTTCGAACAAAGGATGCTCTCATGAGATTGAAGTCATCAGTAGAGGAGGAAGTGCCGCTGGACTTCTGGACCATTGATTTAAGAGAAGCTGCTTTGGCCCTTGGACAGATAAGTGGTGAAGATATTTCTGAAGAAGTTCTGTCCAACATATTTGGGAAATTTTGTATTGGGAAATAGTGGTTAAACTCATACAGTTAGGATTCCTTGTCATCTGCAAAATATTATGGAAACACTTATGAAGCATTCTCACTCCAACAATGGCACAAATCCAATATTATACTCTTTCTGTCCCGAAATTATTGTCCTGTTTGAGCTTTCATTTGTAGTTTAAATTATGGTGCAAGTGAAATTTTAAAGTGGACATTAATTTTGGGACAGAGAAATATTACGCAAGTTATATAAATGGACTCGAACTGTTCTATAAATCTCCCTCCGTCCCAATAAAAAGTTTTGATTTTTGTAGCGTTCCCCATTAGAGTCATGTACCATTAGAAATGATGTGAATCCTGGAATGATACAATTAACAAAACATTACACACCTAATCTGAAAAAAGTTGTACTGAACAAAGTAGGAATGGGGGTTGATATTAATCGAATGGGGAAGTCTTGTCAATTTCTTTTGCATTATTTTCAGTTATCGCGGCAACCTCCTTTCAATTATAGTTGTCAATGTCACAATTGCATATATGGTAGTAATTGATTAACGAATGAACTTCTACCTTGAAAGCAGCCAAAAAAAACAAAAAAAAAGCCATTAGGAAGAGATTTTTTTGGTGATTTAGACTTCAGAGAACTAATAGGATCTAACGTCATTTGACACTCAAAAAGAACGGTACGAAAAATGAAATCGACAAAGTTAGCTTTAGAAGTTCTTGGCCGCAGATTTTTAGACACAAAAAAATAATCAATTTAACGTCGTACCGGGGGTGGGGGAGGGGGTGCATATTTTGCATAGGAAAGAAACAATATTGAATGAAATTGTTCATCAACGAATAGACATAATTTTTAATTTATTACAACATCCATCAAATAAATTGGTACACTTGAGTCCGATATCATCAAAATTATTTAGTTAATGTTAACATGTTTATAACTAAATTGACTGATTCATTTGATAAAAACGATCAAGTAGACAAAACTACATTTTTCTTCCACACGTGCATTATAACTAAGAAATTAACTTCACGACATTCATGTTTAACCTCGACTATCCAATCTCTAATACAGTATTTCCGCTATCAGATCGTTGGATTACACTCCACGTTAACAAAGTATCTGAATTAAAATGTTGAGAAAAGAGAAGGGAAAAAAAAGTCGGGACAATGCATAATAAAAATAGTATACGTAGAGATTACTCACTACGCATGTGGGATGATTTTTCCTCCTGATGTGGTTGTCACATTGATCTGGATGGAACCAGTGTTTTCAAAACCGGACCAGCCCGGGCAGTCTAACTAGTTATCTCGGGAACCGGAAGCTTTACTGGTCCGATTTTTATAAAAAATCGGATTTTGTATAACCCGGTCAAACTCGATCAAACTCGGACAAAATCGCGATTTGATCGGAAACCGGTACCGGTTGAACCGATTTTTGCATATATTTCTTAAAAAATTAATTTTTAAATATTTTTTTAATATTATTTTAACCGGTTTTCACTGGTTTCGAAGAACGAACTAACATGTTAACCCGATGAACCCACCAACTCGGTCACGCTAACGGTTCACCTTCCGGTCCGGTTTTGAAAACATAGGATGGAACCTTCTAACCCTGAAAAAAAAGAAAAAAGAAAAAAAAAAGAAATGCAAAATAGTTTTCAGGATTTATTTAGTGATCATTATTATTCTTTTGGAAGAAGTTTTAAGGTCTTATTACGTTTCAAATAAGAATTTTGAAATGGAGAACACAAAGCTCTTGACTAAGGTCTCCAGGGTTTTGAGATGGAAAATTGTTCTTCTTTTAGTTGTAAAAGCAACAAAATATTCAAACCTGTTATATAGTACACCTATCATTTTCATGTCATAAGAATTCAAGCTGAAAATGAAATAAAAATTCCCGGTGCTCTCCCCTTTTTCTTGTTCCTTTTTCCATATAGGTGAACACTATTCAAAAATAAATAAATAATTGCAGGTACCCGTTTTACATAAAATATAGGGTCCTGCTTCACTAATGAGATCGGTCCCCGCCCTTAATTTTCCTTATCGTGATACATGTGAAAAGTAATTAACTTGGTAAATACCTGTAGGTTTAGCGGCTAAAAATGATTCCTCGTTTCAAGAATGAAAACGAGGTAATTAATAAATCGACCGTGCATGATGATGGAATTGAGTTTGATGTTTCTTCACTCATTTGGTTTAGAGCAAAATTTTGGAATACAGTTGGATAATTAATTATACCCTTGTTCTATTTTGAATGCATTGGGAAGTTGTTTTTTAAAAATCAACTATTTTGCTCATTTAAGAAGTAAAATTAAAAATGACAAAACCTTGAAATATATATGATCACGAGCCTGTCACACATTGATATGATTAAATCATTTGGGCAAAACGTTGTCCATCACCAAGTATACGAATCGAACGGATGCATTAGTCAATGTTATTTACAGTGATAAATGATCATTTGGTATGAAAAGAAAAGAGAGAAAGAGAGAAAAATTAAAATATTAAAAGATACATAATATATGTGCTTAATTTCTCATTCGTCCCTTTTATTTGATCCCTTTGCCATACGTATATGGAATCGATGTGAACGTCATTGAAAAGTGATAACAAGTGCATAATTTGCATGTAAAATATTATTGGAGTTATTTTTAATATATTACAGGACACAACTAATAAGTTGTGCCTATTATTGGCTTCTAATATATTGTAAGAACAAAATTAATAAGGTATGCCTATTGATTCCATATGAAAAGACATTAACGAAAAGTTATGTCGATGACTATAACCAAAGGTTATGTCTAATTTTCAAGAGTTACCTAAACTCTATAAATATGAATTATTTGGATGTTTTTAGTGTACAATGAAATCATCAAATACTTGGAATATTTCCAATGACATTTCTTATTCTTGTATCAGGTTGTTGGTACACTAAAGTGCATAGTGAAACAACATGATCTCCATTTTATCTCATAGAGAATTCGCCTAAACAATTGCACTGTATAGTGGGCGAATTTAGCCTAAAGGAAAGTAAGTTTACTTGTGATTGGAGACAAAACTTTCTTTTATCCTAACTATAAATTTTTCATCTTGTTCTTTGATCAAGTACAACCATTGTTGTCTACTATTGTTGAAGTAGAATTCCAACAATGTAAATGTCCTAACAATGACAGTCATTTTTTGTCATCTACATTTCTTGCCTTTCTGTTTTACCTTTTCGTGATTCATGTAAAAAAATTTGCACGTACGTACAGTAAATTAAACTGTTGCTTAAGCGGCTATAAATTAAAAATAGATGCAACAATTATTCCCAAAACTACAAAAATTATCAGTATAAATAAATGCGCTACCTGTATAACAGACGGATATATTAAAATGTATACGCAATTACTCCACACCAAAGTTCAGACGAATTTTTCTTTCTTATAATATGTTAGGACAAAGAATCCTACATCGGTGTTGTGAAGGATCTGTCACCTGTTTATAAGTGCCAAAGGTCACTCCACTTATTGTTAATTTATTTTGAGATGAGAGCTCAAGGTGATTTTAACGGAACAATTGATAAGATCGACCTAAGAAAGTTCTGGATTGTCATTTGGATACTCTCTTTTCATACATTATCCAAGTCCAGATAATATATAAATTAATCTTAAATAAAAATGATGAGACCATATACTATATATATATTATTATGCCACTCAATAATACAATTATTTAAATCAACAAAAAAACAAGAGCCTACAAAACAAGTGCAAGAAGAACAAAGGTTAGGTTGGCAAGAAATGCTGCTGCTGAGTCAATCACAGGTTGAGTTTGGTTCATTCGTATATACGACTATATGACTCATCACCACGCCTTCTTCTACCTATCATTTTCGGTTTGATTTATCATGTGTCTGCTGCCACTGCTTATCACTAATCAATAATAAACTCCAATTTATATATATATAAAAATACATCTACATATTTTAAAAAAATATGTATGGATTATTGGGTTGGGACAACGAAGCAACCTAGGATCGATCCTAAGTATAGTTTACATATATATAATTTTATTACACGAATGTATTACGTGTAAATGTCGGCATGAGATCAGATGATGATGATGATCTAAAAATCTGAGGTGTTTTTAGTTTAATCCCATACGGCCGTTTTGGATTATACAAAATAAAGAGCAAATTAATATGGTAGTGTTGATTAATATGGTATTTCACCAATTCTTTCATTGCTTTACTACTATTATTATTATTATTATTATTCAAATATAGTGTTGTTGGTTACAGCCGAAAGGTCTAGAGGAATTGGGCGGCAAATTTACGGCCGAATACTCCATTATTTGAGTCCAAAATGTAACCCTTTGATTGTCCCGTTTTAACATACGTTATTATATTTCTGAAATTTATTAAAATTAACCCGATAAAATTAAAAAAAAATAAACTAGCTACTAATAATTAAATAAATACATACTCTTTTCATCCTCCAAAAAAATTAATAACCTAATGCATTTATCTGTTGCTCCGCTAGATACTTGAATTCAAAGGGCAATTTTATCCAAATCAATATACAATATGATGTGTTTTTTATTATTATTTTGATATTTTAATCGAATGCATATTATACTTGAACTAATCGTATTATATGTATAAATTGTGTTGGATAAATAGATTTTCAATCTCATTGCATGAGTAACAAAGCAACCCTAGGAGAAGTTTTTTTATTTTTTTTATTTTTTTTATATACAAGTTTTTGACAACTGTTAATTGCGTGGGTTATTCCTTAAGGAGTGTGAGGCCATATATACTTGTACACACTTGCCAATAAGGTATACGGATTATAGAAAGGAAATGCTTAATAATGGAGAATACGTTGTACATTAGTTTTGCACAATATTCTAATCCCAAAACTAACTAAACCGCAAAGAACCAAAACCAGGGCAGGAGAAAGGGATTGAAAATATTCCACATCCCCGACCGCCACAGTCAGAATTAGGTAACTTCTTTTTTTGTTGATAGAAACTTTAAAC